GGGGCACCAGCTGGTGCAGTGAAAGGCTTTATCCTGATTAGGAAACTGATCACGACTCGACCTCAAGCTCGTAAAACGATGAAATCGATGCGCTAATTAATACTTGATGAATTCATTACGTAGAAAAATCAAATGGGGCGGGGGGGGGGGGGAGGGGCCGTGATTGAACAGTGTCGATCATTAAAGAATGATGAGTTGGGTCGGTATCAAATAGATCGTAAACTATAATCACAAGTGTCGATCATTACAGAATGATGAGTTGGACCGGTATCAAATAGGTCGTGGACTATAATCACAAGTGTCGATCATTACAGAATGATGAGTTGGGTCAGTATCAAATAGCTCAAGACTATAATCACAAGTGTCGACCATTACAGAATGATGAGTTGGGTCAGTATCAAATAGCTCAAGACTATAATAACAAGTGTGGACCATTACAGAATGATGAGTTGGGTCAGTATCAAATAGCTCAAGACTATAATAACAAGTGTGGACCATTACAGAATGATGAGTTGGGTCAGTATCAAATAGCTCAAGACTATAATAACAAGTGTGGACCATTACAGAATGATGAGTTGGGTCAGTATCAAATAGCTCAAGACTATAATAACAAGTGTGGACCATTACAGAATGATGAGTTGGGTCAGTATCAAATAGCTCAAGACTATAATAACAAGTGTGGACCATTACAGAATGATGAGTTGGGTCAGTATCAAATAGCTCAAGACTATAATAACAAGTGTGGACCATTACAGAATGATGAGTTGGGTCAGTATCAAATAGCTCAAGACTATAATCACAAGTGTCGACCATTACAGAATGATGAGTTGGGTCAGTATCAAATAGCTCAAGACTATAATCACAAGTGTCGACCATTACAGAATGATGAGATGGGTCGGTATCAAATAGCTCAAGACTATAATCACAAGTGTCGATCATTACAGAATGATGAGTTGGGTCAGTATCAAATAGCTCAAGACTATAATCACAAGTGTCGACCATTACAGAATGATGAGATGGGTCGGTATCAAATAGCTCAAGACTATAATCACAAGTGTGGACCATTACAGAATGATGAGTTGGGTCAGTATCAAATAGCTCAAGACTATAATAACAAGTGTGGACCATTACAGAATGATGAGTTGGGTCAGTATCAAATAGCTCAAGACTATAATCACAATACTGGTTGTCGGCTCTAATCACTAAACCGGTACGGATTTCTTTTTATTTTAAAATTGTACATGTTTGGATGAGAATGACGCCATAAATTGGTCAATTGCTTTCTTTGTTTTAAGTCAGATTTTCGTAAATTTTTTTTGAACTGGTTTATAGCAAACTTCTTCAAAATTGACTTAGATGATGAATTTGATAGCAATTTAGATGTAATCACACAAAACATTCAATTAATTATGCTACCTGTATTAATACAGGTTGCTGGTTGAAATTAATGAAAGGAAATACATTTCGACCGTCTTGACAAAAGGAACAGTTGAGGCGACAACACTTGACACATTTGCGTATTTTGCCTAAGGCCTTCCAACACCCAGTACATCAGTGGTTCTCAACATTCCTCATGCCACGACTCTTTAATACAGTTTCTCCAGCCAAACAATTATTTTCGTTGCTACTTCATAGCTGTAAGGATATGTGTTTTAAGATGGTCTCAGGCGACCCCTGGGAAAGGGTTGCGTGACCCCCAAAGGGGTTGTGACCACCAGGTTGAGAACCGCTGCAGCACATGATACCCTCACAAAGTAGCCCGTGCAAACAGTGAATATACTCAACACCAGGCACAGAAACATTGCAAATCCCCTATACATGCATAGGAGCCAGAATGATCAATAAATTAATCGTGGGCCTTTAATATATATAGAAGGAAAAAGAAGTTTACCGTCAATTTATAGCGCATTTTTCACAGTATACCGTGGGAATGGGATATTTTTTTTTAGCATACCATATGTATATAAAGCATTAATTGAAAATTACAATAAGGATTACACAATCATGGACTACTACTCACCAAAGTAGTTACTACCGAACAAACGCTGTGCTGCTATTCATGGAATACAGTATCTTACTCTTAGAATTGGAGTTAGAATATAAAGATTAAGGACTGCCTGTGCAGAACTTCACAAAACTGTCATAATAAAATCAATCCTTCAACTTCTATACTGATACATACAACGTCTTCTATAAGTTAGTACTAGACTAATAATTAATTACCACTTTTATTCAATTAATGAAATTATAGCTCCAATTACAAGTCCTACAAGCCTCTATACTATAGAGGGGCTATGACCTAGACTTACTTAGACTAGTATAGTATAGGCCTTGTCATGTGTATTAGTAACTCAGTATAAGTACAGTGGACCTCTATATTCATCAGCCCCTAAATTTGTCAGATTAGATATTCATCACACTTTGATGACAAAATTAATGTATCCAAATGCATCACTCCCACCATCATCTGATACTGGTACTGGCACTTCAATTTTCCCAGATAATCAAATGAACTAGCTAACTTATTCAGCCTTGTGCAGTTGGCCAGTGTGCATGCAACTGTCATTTCTCTTTTTTCTGTCCATAATGCATAATGTGGTCAAAAAGAGAAAATCCAAATGATGCTATAGTCAACCAAAACATAAATGAAAAGGCATTCAATGATAATGTGATTGAATACGTCAGGAAAGTTTCTTTTTTTTAAAGAGACAGAAACATTGGAAAAGTATTTTGTTAAAGTTTAAGCGAGTGCTACTGAAACATCTGAAACCAATCACCAGAGTTGGAGTTACCTGATGTTTCAATTGATGGTGACTCTTTTGCTAAACAGTAACTCTCCTCCTCTTGTGCTACTTCCATCATCTCTAATCATGATTAATTTATTTATGAAACAGGTTACTATTTTGGGGGCAATGGATTAATTGAATTTAAGTTATATCTTATGTAGAAAGTTATAGTTATGGTCTTATAGTTGAAGACATATCTAAAATAGACTATAAAATTTAACACTTTTACAATGGTAGATAAATATGCCGGCCAGTGATGGGACAGTTACCATGATGAAAGCTGTTGAACTTCATGCCACCCTAGATTTCCTAAAAACTTGTCTGCTTCGTCGGGTACCCAGGTATCAACTCTGTGGGTCGACAGGTACCCGGGCCCATGTTTTTCCAATTTTTTATAGCCATAGCTCTCAACTCAGAGGTTCCACTGTTTTAAATTAGGCCTACTCCTATAAATATATAGTCTATTACGCCGATCCTCCTAAGTCCGGTCCCAAATTATTTCCAATGATTACTTCTTACTTAAAAGTCTTCAGAATCATTTTGCTTTGAATTTCATGTTTGCGTATATATCTCAATAAATTTATTAAATTATGGCAGGTAGACCAGCCGCACCGATATGTATTAGTTCAGTTAGTTTGCCAGCATGACATTCACACAGAAACTATTGAAGGACTTTGGATGCAAGCGAAACGTAAACTCCGCTATCAGAGTGGTAATAGTCATGGTCTGTGCCAGCTATTTGGTTGGGGGCCTTTCAGTGACGCAACAGTCACAAGCAGAACGTTTTATGCTGCAATTTCCAAATGCTATACGCCAATTTCAAAATTTAGTATTTACTGACTGGCTTGTAAAGTGACAATTATTTACAAAAACTATGACTGACATTTCTGCTATTTTCTAACAATACACACTGCCACACTGTGCATAGCAATTTTGTTCATACAAAATAATTTGGGACCGGACTTCAGAGGATTGCCGTCTATTACTATTATAGTTAGGACTACATTACAATAAGTTAATAAGTATTTAAAAGTATAAATTAGAAATATATTTTATTAGGGATTGTCAATTAGGCCTACTTAATTAATTAATATTACTATTTTTAAATTAATTAATTAAAATTAAGTAATCATTTACACTTTAGGGCCTAATGATTAAGCACTTATTTATTAATTATTTTAATATAACTAATACTAATACTAAAACTATTAATGATGAACTCCAAATCCTAACTAATTAGTTATTAATTACTAAGACTAAGACTATGAGAACTATGACTATGACTAAGACTAAGGCTATACTATAACTTTAGACTAAAGTTTAGAACAACAACTCTAACTGGTGTCCAAGCCAGGCCAAGTCATAATAGAATTAGTCATATTCATATACTAAAACTAGTCCTTCTTCTATGACTACTAAGACTACTAATACTAATGAATTACTAATGTCAATAGTCAATGACACTAATGAGAATTAGACTGAGTCTGAGCTCAATAAAGTATTATACTTCTTAAAATTATTATACTATATTTTATTATTTTAATTTTATTATAATTAATTAGGAATACACCTTACTAAGGCCTAATTAATTTATTTTTGGCATATGATGGGACATGCCTTGCCTTATTCGAAGCGGTGAAATAGTAGTTAGTGAAGTAAGTAAGACTGATTTTAGTTTTAGTTAATTAGTAAATAGTAAATAAGTAATAAGACTAAGACTTACTCACTTATTATTATTAAGTCAAGTCAAGTAATTATTAACAAGACCAACAAGTACAAAACAAGCATTGGAGTTGAAGTGAAGCAAGAAGATACAAAAAATTTAAAGAAATCAAATGATTAAATACATTTTTTACTCACTCCTATTTGTTTTCCTTTAACAAAAATATATCGATTTTCTCTTGGCCTACAAGATTTTGATGTGATTAATGTACTTATTTTATTGGCCACTTTTTGAGATCGAAGTATTGGTTTTTAGAGGAATTTGACATAGTTATCGACACCTTTAATTGGGAGCGATAAGTTTTGTTTCATTATTTGAAAAAAAATATTACAATTTATAACATTAGCGTAGGCTTAATATATATATATTTAAACATTTTGATATAATCTTAATTAATTGATTAAAAATAGATTCAAGAATAATTAGTATTGTTGTTAAAATTTTGCAATTTTTCAATAATAATTGGTGATCCCCGTCACTTAAAAAATGTAAACAAAAATTAAAATGGCACCGAAAGGTAAAAATCGCAACGATGTTTTGGAGGAAGAATTTTTCCTTCAAGCTGTTGTTATTGCTGATAGTTTCAATGTTCGATTCGGGCCAGTGACTTATAAAAAACCTCGGGTAAGATTATGTAATTCTTAAATTAAACGTTGAGTATTCCATCGAACCAATGATGTCTAGTGGGGAAAAATTTAATTAATGGTGGGCAGACCTGAGACTGGCTATTTTTTTTTTCTTCTGATCGTGATCACCCAGACGCGAGAGATGATGCAATAATTAATCGTTAAGCATAGCCTAACACAACTATTTACTTGGCTTTATTTTTTTAATTTACACGTTAGAAAATAATATTAAATATATACTAGCCTATATTAGAACTTAGGCCCAGACTAGAGAACTAAACTAACTAATGTAAAAAATGTCAGTACGCCATCTTGGTGCCCTAGGCACAAACCCACATGGGTGCCCCTACTGCCCCCGGCCCCTGATCCTCTACCAGTTTTTTAGTACATCTTCAAAGTTAATTTTGCGCAACAAGTCTGCCTCAATCATCAGCAAAGATAAAGAATCAAGCCTTTCTTGTTTCTTTGTCGATCTACTTGGATTTTTTGTATGTTTCAACTGAGAAAAAGAGTGCTCAGTAGAACAGTTCGTAACCATTAATGTTAAAAATATGTGCAAGGCGAGGTCTACTTTTGGAAAAGCACACTTGATGTTGTCTCTAACTATTACTTTGTAGAGTTCTGCATGACTGAAAGTGTTGTTCTCAGATTTTGATGCACGAAACTTGTGGCGAATATGAGTGGAACTGTTGTAGTTCAGTTTATAAATTATTGTTAAGATCTTCAGGATAAGCATTTGTTAGTCCTTCACAACACTGAGATGTTTGTGGTACATCGACCAAACAAGAAAATCGAACTGCTAGATCATTATATACCTGTCCTCATCTACTCATCTCTGTCTCAAGTTTGTCAACAATGGTGTAGAAAGCAGATATACGAAATTTGTCTCCGGCATTCTGAAAAACCTCAGGGGCATCACCATCAATGACCACTGTCATTCATTTATGATTATGGGTCAAAGTTGACTTATAATCCACACATGGTGTTATTTCTTTTGCAGCTTCTTCAAATCTTTCAAATTCATTCCTAGATTCATGCAAGGGATCTGCTAGTGAAGAATACAAATCAGCACATGTTTTCAAGTTCATGTGCTCATTTTGTAGAGCTTGACTGACCCTATTCACAATTTTTTTCACTAGCAGACCAAAACGGAAGTGAATTTGTCACTACGCATTAGTGCGTTACGTAGCACAAACATATCCCAGAAAAGTAAAAAAATAGCACCAAAAAACCTTGAAGAAAAAAATAACAAAAAATAGCAAAAAAACTGGGTGGGGGGCATTTTACCCCTGGATTGTGGGACCAAGGTTAAATAATGTGCGATTCAATATTACATTTGCAATTTGCTTATGCCATGCAATTACGCTACCGGGGCAATATACACATTTTTCTTGAGGACTTGTGGTGCCCCCCTAAATGCTTGGTGCCCTAGGCACGTGCCTTGTTTGCCTAATGGTTAATCCAGCCCTGTATAAGCCTATGAAAACATATTTCCCAGCATCCTGATCATTGGCAAGTAATATCTACACATTGCATGGTACCTGTAGCCCAGGGATGGGTAATGTTTTGGGGCATATTTAAAGCAGTGAAAAGTTTATCAACCAAGCTTCTCGCAATATTTTAGATGCCAGTAAATAATAATGCCCATTGTTATCATTTTCAATCAATATTTTTTTTAGCTAAAGCTTTAAATCGCTAAATTATTCTTTGTAAAATTCACATCAATAAAAGACTTCATAAATTTTAAAATGTTATGTTTCTTTTCATTTTTTATAAGGCTCTACTGCCTCTGGTGAATATACCTCTCCTTGACTACACCCTTGAGGCCTTGGCAATATCTGGGGTGAAGGATGTCTTTGTATTCTGCTGTCACTTAGGAGAACAAGTTCGGGAGCATATAAGGTGAATGAGGAAACATTAACAAATATTAATTATTTGTAATTAGAATTATAGAAGATTTAACCAGGAAGTGGTGAGTTCATATTTAAATTAAATACAGTCAGGAAGTGGTGAGGTCGTATTTAAATACAGCCTCAAAGAGGTAACGTCATATTTAACTACATTTCAGTAATAAAATACTTTTCTGTTGTATTGTTTTTATAAGTCATTGAGAATTGTTTCAAAACTCTCCATAAATTGCCTCACCTGACAGTTAGCAGTTTCTGAATTAACAGAACAAATATCTCAATCCTACAACTAGTCATAACTTTTATGATATTGTACTAACCTCAACAGACAGTCAAAATGGCAAGAAGGTGGCTCCCAGATGACAGTGACAGCCTTGATGTTAGATTCGTGCAGGTCTATGGGAGATGTTCTCAGAGAGATTGATGCAAAGTCCTTGATTCGATCTGACTTTATCCTTATTTCAGGGGACATTGTCTCCAACATGGATATAAGCTTAGTAGTCAAAGAGCACAAGTAAGATTTGTCACAGTTCTGAACACATTTATGTATACAGGAAAATATATGCAAACCAGAACTCTTAATAAACTAATACTGATGAATCAAATCTATGCATTTTGTAGGTGCTGACTTATGCCTCAGCTTCATTAATATCAGTATAGTGTTAACATGTTTATTTTAACAATTTGTTATTGAAGTGAACATTATAAAATAAAAACAACATTCAACTGAATTCACATAGGAGTAATGTGTTGTTATCCATGAACTCTTTCCACTTATTAAGGCTAAAATATCAACACAAAACTATACATCGATGATCAACTAGATTAATTAATTTTTAAATAACTGCAATCTACTGTTAATAGTTCATTTTTCCTAGCAATAGCTAACCAGTCCATAACCTTCACTATCTGTTTGGATTTCTTGCAGCCTCATCTTTTTCATTAACATTTTTGTTGTTATTTTGCATGCTTATGATTATTAGCTACCTATGAGTATGAGCATATTAAATGATACTACAAATTTAACTGCCTTCAAACATTTTTTGACAGTATTTTAGTATGAAATATATTTTATTAGACCAGGTTATTTTAAAATATTTTAATGTAACTTTAACTGAACTATTGCAGGGAGCGCACTCATGGAAAAGACAAATCATCTGTGATGACTATGGTTTACAAAGTGGCCCTTCCGGGTCACAGGTCACGAAGCAAAGAAGACGCCATGCTCTTGATTGAAGAGGGGGAAACCAAGAGACTTCTCCACTTTGAGAAATCACATGATAAAAGGAAAATTAAAATACCCACAGTATGTAAAATGTATTCAAATATATTGAAATATGTTCGAGAAATATTAATTAGTCAAATTCATATTTAGCTTCTGATGAGAGAAAAGCCCGAATCGCATGATTCATATTAAATTTATTAAGCTAAGCAAAACACCTGAAAGGCTTGTCTTTTAAAATTTTGGCCTTCATTGTTGTAATTATTTAAGCTACATTTCTCTTGATGGCAGGAAATACTGCTGGAACACGAAGACATCATCATTCATAATGACCTGATGGACTGTCACATTTCTATATGCTCGCCAGTGGTCCCAACGCTCTTCACTGACAATTTCGATTACCAAACTCGGGACAATTTTGTCAAAGGAATTCTCATTAACGAAGAGGTTGTTCATGATTAAAACTCTCAATAGAAACAAATAAGAATCGCCATCAAAAATTAAATGAGAAAGTACAGCTTCATCAGCCATACCTTCTAAGTGATATTTATCTTCATCTTTTTAAGAATTCTTTGTTCACAGTCAGTTTGTTTTTAAAATGGATGGCTATTTGCAGTGTTTTAAAGAATTTTATTTACATTTGTAGTGAATTCAAGCAAAAACAGTGAACACGCTTGTATTATTGCAACTAGGTGAATCTTCAATACTTTATGTAAAATTGCATTTACAAAAGTGTATTTGGGATAATGCATTGATAATTTTATTGACATATATTTTTGAAAATGAAACTTTCATGTGATAATTTATTTATTTTTGTGGGGGGGTCTATCCTGCAGATCATGGGCTATAAAATACATCTGAGCATCATACGAGACAAATACGCAGCTCGTGTTTCAAATATGCAAACTTATGATGCCATTAGGTGAGATGAATTTTATTACGAGAATCCTCTTGTGGATACATGCGGTCACCACATTTAGGTTACACTTATAAGCAAAGCCAAAGGTCAATTAATCTCAACCATTTTATTTTTTATTTATTTTTTTTAAATTCTGATGCCCATTACTTGACTGAACAAAACTGAAATATGAAAATGACAGAATACATCCTTACTTGTAACAGTGTTTTTTGTTTGTTTGTTGTTGTTGTTGTTGTTTTTTTTTGGGGGGGGGGTGTGCATTTCTAGACTTTTTGTTTTATCTAACGTCGTTTAAAAGCTCATAATTATATTTATTCATTAATCGTGATATTCTGCCTTCCTTTTGATAGTAAAGATGTCATTGCTCGATGGACATACCCTCTTGTCCCGGATATGTTTGGATCTAGTCACAAGGAGACCATCAAGTATGGCCGTCACAATGTGTACTGTGGTGAGGATGTTACCCTTGCAAGGTATTCTGGTCTAGTACACTCTGTGTGGTCCAACAAGGCTGTGGTAGAATTGGGATATTCTTAGTCTGCGTGAAGTCTGGTGCTCTGACTGTAGGTGGGGGGAAAAAAAGTTTGACTATGCTTTCAAATCCTTATGGTTGAAGACTAATAAATATTTGAATAATTAAACACACAGTCTTTAAATTGCAGAGTTAATATGTTATGCTGGTTTTTGGGTCACTGAAAAAACTAAAAATGTCATTTGGTTTTGAAACTTGACGTATTTATTATATTTTCACTTCAAAGGAAGGTAGCCTTAACTTCTTCTGCCTTGAAAAGAAGAACATTTTTAAAGTATTTAAGTGTCCCATTTGATTCCAATCAGAGCAAATATATTTCCTTTAATTTTTTGCACACATTTTTTTAAAGTCAACTTAGCTGTTTATTTTATGGCTGAGCATAGTTTAATTCCATAGAGGTCAATGACCTTCCATCCTAATCCTTATTCCTTTATACTAATCTTTGCTATGTTTGCTACTAACAGTAAAAGCTTAATGTTACAATTTTTATTCCAATGAATCGATATTCAAAACTGTTCATGGTGAGAACTTATGAGCTGCTTTGTTTGGGGCTCAGAGAGTTGCAACGCGGCTGGTCATGATGCCTCTGCCCACCATTCCCATAAAGTAGTTGTTTCAGATCATGAATTTTGATCATACTAAGAAGATACTATTTCGAGTGGGTTTGGTAGATCATTAGGAGTAAGTAGAAAACGAAACAGACAAAATGATGGAAAATGTTCTTGTTATATTAAATCACAATCACATTTTATGTGCAGGGGCTGTGATCTCCAGAAAGATGTTGTTGTAGGAAGAGGGACCTGCATCGGCAGTGGATCTGTTATATCAGGCTGTGTTATTGGAAAGAACTGCCAGATCGGTAAGTCTGTTTTAGTTAAATTATCATCTGGTTTAAGGTTGGTCAGGGGTGGCAAAATCAACTGGGCATGCTTGTGTATGGCCAATAGGCGCTGCTTGTGGTTGGTAGATTGGGGATGCTTGTGGGTGGCAGAATCAGTTGGGGATGCTTGTGGTTGGTAGATTGGAGATGCTTGTGTGTGGAAGAATCAGTTGGGGCTACTTGTGGTTGGTGGATTGGGGATGCTTTTGGGTGGCAGAATCAGTTGGGGATGCTTAACATGGTGAAATCAGTAAGACAGGAGTTAAGCTTGCAAACTGACTTTTCATATTATAGTCGCTAAAACATCAGAGTTACTTCCGGGTTAGTTAACAATACAATTTTATTGAACCATGAAATGGTTGTTTGAAATTTGTAATTTAAACAAAAAATGTATTGCGTTATAGGAGAGAACGTAAAGCTGAGGAACAGCTTCCTGTGGGACAACGTAAAGATTGCCAGCAACTGTGACATTGACACTGCTCTCTTGTGCTCTGGTGTACAGGTCCTGGACAGGGTCATTATCAACAAGGGGGTCATCCTAGCATGGGAGGTAACCAATTTAATCAAATGTATGCCCGCATGCATTCTTGATTGTGTGGTCATTAACTCATTCCCTCCGGCAGTGCTACTTCCGGACTTAATTTATTTTCCTGAGAAAAGGGAAGCAACTCAGTTTTGAAATTGATGTACATTTTTTAAATATTTTTTAAGTTGCTAAATATTATTTAATGTTAATGAATTAAGAACAAATGCAACAAAAAATGAATGAGGTTTAATATAAATATAGCATTAGCGGGGGAAAAATAACTAATAATGGTAAAAAAATCGATTTTCGGCACCTCGGATGAACACATGCTACATAGAGACGCGCCGTACTAAAGCACACATATTTTTAAAGTGAAACAAGATAAAAACTTCCGGTTTCTAAATTAAAATCATGCAGAGATCACGCCATAGCCGGAAGTCTCGAGGGGCGTGAGATTTCATTGCTATTTATAAATAAAAATAAGAGAGGTGTGTCGCTATGCGCCGGGACGCATTTGGACGCATCAGGAGGAACCCCCAGAGGACGCATTTAGTCGCAACCGTCGGGAATGAGTTAATTAACAGATGTATGGTTTAGCCGATGGATGGGCGAATGGGAATATGGAAACATTTATAAGGCTTAACATTGTACTTAATGCTCTTGGGGAAGACAGCAATGCTCCAGCTTCATTTTAGATTACTTAATTTTTAAAATACTTTCAAAATGATGGTCTTTTTTTTTTTTTTTTAACCTCAGATTTCCCATTGTTCTCCTCTGTCACCAGGTTGTGGTTGGACCTGATGTCACTATCAAGAAGGGAACACAACTCATGTCTGAAGCACAGAAGGATGATTGGGATGACCCAAACATGTCGTTTGGAGAGGATGAAGTCAGAAGTGAATCTGCAGATGGTGAAGACAAGGAAGGTCAAGGTAGGACCCACATCAAACTACAGGACCACCTGTGCAGTTTAACACCATCTCTGCTACATATGCATTTACACTTACATCAACCTACTGTACTACCTGTGCAGTTACACACATAATACTACCTGTGCTACTACACACCAGCTGTACTATCTGTGCAGTTATACATCAGCTGTGGCACCTGAGAAATAACATACCAACTGCACAACCTGCAAATGTTAAAAAATGAAGTTATGCTGATGGAACATGATTTGTATAATTTTATATCTAAACGACATCATTTATGGTGGATACATTTTTAAAATAAAAATGACCATTCACCTGGAATGCCTCTTTAGAAGTAGATTTAATAAATAATCTGTATGCATTGTATACCATTTTTAAGATCTTAGTCTGCTAATTATTGGGGAGGAGACACATTAAAGTTATTTAAAACCTTTTTATTTAAACTTTGCTTCTGGCTACAAAAGTTACTGCAGTGCAAGTGCCATGCCTGCTTCAACTACATGGCCTGCTTCCAATACATGCAGTCCTAAGTTTTCATTTAAATTTTGAGGATTTCATATTTGTGGTTTTATCCTCTTCCCTGCTAACCTTCCCAGAGCCAGTGAACTATGGCAGCAAGAGCAAAGCCTATCCATACAAGCAAAACGTGGATAGTGAAGACGAAGAGGAAGGTGTTGGTAAGTTACTCTTATATACCCACCGGTACTTAATGAGAAGTGCTAATGTTTTGATGTACTGAACATAGCAGGGCATGTTTAGCTATCAGGGTTTCATATTTCATGATGTGAATCTTCAGGTTTTTTTTAAATATTCATAGAATAACAATCCTCTTTTTTTCTTAAAACCCAACCCCATTTCTCCACCCTTTTTTTTTTTCAAGTCTTTGTGTTTAGGAGATCATTGGCTTAGAATAGTAACTCAAATGGTAATTCTGTAATAATTGTTCCTTTCTTGTAACCGTGTCTTCACCTATGAAATGAAAATGTTATATTTTCACAGTATTAGATCAGACATGGGGAATTTCTGCCTCTGAGTCCGATGACAGAGCATCAGAGGAGGACAGTAATGATAGCTACGAGGAAGATGATGGGGGCAGTGAAGATGATGAGGCTGAAAGGGGAGGAAACCTTGATGATGAAGAGGAGGAGGAGGACCAGGTGGATAGTTCATTGGGCTTCATTCCCAGCGTTTGTATGATGGAGAGAAATACAGGTTGGTCGAGTTTGTATGATGGAGAGAAATACAGATAGATGCTTGTATGATCAACTGATGTCAACTTTTAGTTTTATAAACTTTTTTTTTTAATGGCTTTAAAAGGAAGAAGAAGAAGTAGAAAAACATGATATACATAGGTTGCAGACATTGTTTTACAGGCCATTGATTTGTTGAATATTTATTTATAAATGTGCATCAAGTTAGCAGTGTTTCAACACACTTCAGGAGCATAGACCATCAGAGTACTTAACTGAGTCAACTCTTTATAATAATAAACTAATGAGTTTATAGTCATTTTTTTTTCTTGCTCTTATTGTTAAAAAAAAAATTCTATTGATGCTCAGATTAATTTACACATTATTTAATTCTATTAAAGGTCTTGAGCAACAACAAAAAATGTCTTTTGATCTTTGATATACCGGTATCATGATAATAATATATTGCTGTACAAGTTTTCTTTGCTTGATGAATATTTGTGTTTGTGACAGCTTTTTACCAGGAACTTGTGGATACATTTGTGAGGGCAAATAATGAAAAAATTACAGAGGATAATCTCACTCTGGAGATCAATTCACTCAAGTAAGGAGTAAAAACAAAAATCAGACTGAGACTTGAGTTTAACAAGATTTGCAGTCAGCCAAAAAAAAATTAATAATTAAGTTTTACTATGGTGTGGGTCATTAAGTGTTATATGGTGTAGATCATACAGTATATGCTGTCTGTCAAGGGTATGAGAATCACTATTGTTATGAGTAGATTATTGTTTCAAGGTTTGATAGAGAAAAGATGTTTAGTTAAAGATTTTATGTGTAGCTGTATCGTTTGTGTGAGAGTGTTGTGACGTAATTGTGTAGTAGGAAGTGACGCATTAGTTTTCGTTGTTGTTAGAGAAGAAAGATGGCGGATGTGCTATATTGACTGTTGTGATTTGAATACTGCTAAGTGTTGTGCTGAAAAGATTTGATTGTTGCTCAGAAATTAAGTATCAACCATAGTTTGGGAATTGTGGTTAAATAAATTAAGTGTTGTGCTGAAAAGATTTGATTGTTGCTCAGAAATTAAGTATCAACCTTAGTTTGGGAATTGTGGTTAAATAAATTAAGTGTTGTGCTGAAAAGATTTGATTGTTGCTCAGAAATTAAGTATCAACCATAGTTTGGGAATTGTGGTTAAATAAATTAAGTGTTGTGCTGAAAAGATTTGATTGTTGCTCAGAAATTAAGTATCAACCTTAGTTTGGGAATTGTGGTTAAATAAACTTTTGTTTGCAACAAACCGGTTGATGTTTGTTGCATTGGTGACTGTTGCTGTATGATGTACTGCCGAACGGAATGAAGTGAAAGACTTGGCCATACAGGAGAATCTCATCTCGACACTGTCGGTTAAACAGTGTTAAATGCTCTAGGACATACAGTTTTACTATGGTGTAGGTCATTTAGTATTACATGGTGTAGGTCATACAGTGTAATATGCTGTAGGTTATACAGTTTTACATGGTGTATGTCATGCAGTGTTACATGCTGGAGATATCACATATTGTAGAAAAAACAAAGTGAAGATGGATGTCATAATCTTATTACTGTGGTATTAGTATCAATGTCTCATGCATAAAAAATGTTCAGTCAATCTGTAGCTGAATTCTTAAATGTTGACATACCATAACCAATTTTTCAATTTATTTTTAGTTTTTCCTGCTAAATGGTTTAGGCCTATATTTTTGCATATCTTGCAGATATTGGTTAAATTTACAGAGGCTTTATTGCTTATCAAATAATAATATTATTGATTAAAAAAATATCTTAAGTTCTAATACAAAAAAAAAAGGTTTATTTTGAGCTTAAAAATGTACTAAAATTTTCTTATTTATAAATTATATTAACATCTTAAAGCCTGGACGTTTTTTTTTTTTGTTTTTTTACATTCTAGAGTGACGAAATTTATATTTAAATAATTGTATTTGTTTAAAAAAGGTTTATTTTGAGCTTAAAAATGTACTAAAATTTTCTTATTTATAAATTATATTAACATCTTAAAGCCTGGACGTTTTTTTTTTTTTTGTTTTTTTACATTCCAGAGTGACGAAATTTATATTTAAATAATTGTATTTGTTACAGACATGCCTATACTGTTTCCATTGAGGAAGTTATCCACAGCTTACCTTGTGTTCTGCTTGACATGGCTTCGCATGAGCAGACTTTGCCTGTTTCAGTGAACGACAGAATATCTACTTTTAAAAAGGTTAGGTTCATCATAATTCATCTGTATCATTGTTCATCCTGAATCATCCTGTATCATTGTTCATCTTGAATCATCCTGTACCACTTTTCATATGTTAAACCTATTTGTGACATTTAAATTTTAATGGATAAATAATTTGTCTTTCTAGAAATTTTCAACTACATAAAAAAGGAAATATTTGTATTTATTTTGAAAATAAAATATATTTTTATCTGGTCAAAATATGTTTGTGGTTTCTTTTTGACTCTTTTGATATAGCATGCAAAAATGAAAATCATTATGCCTAGCTGGAGTTTTTTTTTTTTTTAATTATTGATTTTAGCCATACGAGTACATGAATATGTTTTTAAACACATGTGTAAAGCTAATTTTTATTTATTTTTATTTATTTATTTTTTTAAAATAAAACACATTCCAATAAGCAGTTCTTTTGTAAATATTATTTTTTTAATTTTTCTGCAGAACGTACAGCTCTACTCCAGTTTACTACGCAAGTATATCAAGAATACTGAAACCCAACTGACTCTCATTAATGGACTGGGTGTAAGTTGAAATTTTTGTACAACAATAGTCTCCAGCTCTGATAACTTGTTAGATGTGATGTCAGCAGGAGATTATAGCTGTGAAGTTAAATGTGATGTTAGTGGTGAAGTTTATTGTTATGTTAGCGGGGATGTTAGTGCAAAGCTTTTTGTGATGTTAGTTAGGAATTCAGTGGTTAGGTTAATTATGATATTAGTGGTGAAGTAAATTGTAAGGTTAGTTTGGATTTTATTTGTGATGCAAGGAATCATGTTAGTTTGATTTTAGTGAGAATTTTTGTGAGAAAGTTAATTTTGAATGTTAACTTTGGTGATGAAAACCCTTATCTGGGTATATTTCCCTTATATTAGCAAAGGTGGCATAATATTTGAGACCACCACAGCTCTTTCTAAGTTAGAACAACTATTTTGGAAGTCAATATGACTGTAACTTTAAAACAATCTTCACTAGTTTGGGACCACTTTTAAGGTGGCTGAAATCTGAGCTCACTTGGTCCTCTTGTTGGTCGTTTTTAAATTTTATTCTTAAGTTGTATATTACTGCTGCTTACCTTCTTTATATCCTATTTGCTTTCTAGGACCATGTCATTAGACAGAGTGACCTACGACCCCGCTTGCCTTTGCTCCTCAATACCTTATATGATGTGGATGTTCTAAGTGAAGGTGCTATTCTACGATGGTATAACTCAACACAGTTTCCTTCAGTAAATGAATCATCCAGACATGCATTCCTCAAGAAACTGGTAAGTGTACATTAATTTTTTTCTTTTTTATCTAATTTTTTTGTTGTTTTTGTATGGAGATGGACCATTATTGCATCCCAGATTTACAAGTTTTTTTCAGGAATATTTATATCTGCAAATAATATCAGAAACATCTCCTGAAAATAAAATAGCAGAATTTTATTAGTAAAAATACCAGGATGTTAGAAAGTGAAAAATAGTTTTCTTTTTTTTTTTCTCTTTTTGGTATTCATTAAATGTTTTAGTTAGAATCTAATAACTCCTGCCAGACAGACAGAAACAGCATATTTTATAGTTCTAAAATCTCATTACAAAATAATTCCAGAATTTTAAAAAAAACAATGAAATAATTCTACTTGTCATGTACATTCTCTTCTTTGTAATTTTTATGATTGTTTTCATTTTCTTTCAGAGCCAACCCTTTATTACTTGGTTAAGAGAGGCTGAAGAGGAATCTAGTGACAGTGATGTCTCTGATGGAAATAACTAATTTCGTGGCTGTACTAATATTTAACTGAAATCGGCAGAGTTATTTTCCTATGTTTTCTTCTTCCTTATTGTAATTATATTTTAGAGCTCTAAATGACTCTAACTTAAACATAAAATAAAAATGATAAATTTCTGGTTAAAAAAATAGCCACTTTTAGGGTCAGTTGATGGCAACCTTTTCATTTTGAGATTCAGGCAACTTGTCATTTTAGAGTAGAGGGAATTGTATATCAATATGAACTACAGTAATTAAATTCATTTTCTATCTATGAAATTAGTACTCATATATAATGTTGTGCTATCAATTATAATCAATAGTAGGCTATTTTGTATCATTTTTAATATTTGATTTTCTATTCTTGTAATGCAATAATGCAATAGATGGGAGATTTTATGATGAGATCAGGGGCAGACTTAAAATAAAATTTAACTTTATAATTCAATTATCAATTTGCAGAGCATATGAATTTTGAAACCTTTAAAATAATTTTCATCTGATAGTAAACAAAAATGTAAGCTTAGTGCTGAATGCATAGTCAGCCACAAAAGTGAAATCTGTAAAAAAAAATATGTGGATGACACTACTGGTATCACATGTTCTCACCATGTCAGGTCTTAATAGTTTTAATTAAGTTTCAATATGATCAAAGTTTAATGTAATTTTATATAACGTTAATTTTTATTTTGTTTAGCTTTAGAATTAAGTACTTTTGTAATACTATCAAATTATAGGCCTATAATTAAACATTTAAACCAAGACAATTTGACAGCCTCAACTTGAGGTGTCCTAATATGGGGGTGTAAAATTGTGATGTAATTCATTTGAAATACTTATTAAAAGGAAAGCAAGGTTGAAAAATGCAATTTATTGCCATCTGGATTTGAAATAAAAGTTTGAGAAACCAGGACCTAACCTTGTTTGTTTCATTATTGTGTATTTTAAAATTTTTCTTCTGACAATGTCTGCTGGGGTGCCACTTTTCCGGATTATACCGGAATTCCGTATTTGTGAGGATAAATATTTTTCATCTCCAAAATAGCAAGTTTTTATTTTCTTTCGCTTCGGGTTCGCCAGTTCAGTTTATTCAAATACGGATTCTGTTTTGTTTTTTTTAAATTAATGTGTATGAACACGCAAAAGTCTATGCAGCGAGAGCGCGTTCGCTATAAATAGAACAGGTACGGCGATCTCTCGCCTTTGCAATCCTCTCGCTTTCGTTTTTAATAATTGCAAAAGAAATTATTTCTACAGTGTATGAATTTTATGAGTTCCGTTAAGTTTCAGGGTTTGAACAATGTGTAAATGAAGCTCCAGGTTTCAAGAAATTTTAGTGAGGGATTTCAGGGTTCACAACTTTTAGAGAGTGGCACCCCTGAATGTGGGTGGCTAGTGATAGTGACATGACATTTATATTTTTAGTTATGAAATTTTACTTTCTTTATTAATTGTTTTTGTTAGGTTTTCACCTTAAAAATATATTTATTATTTAATTTGTTTTTAAAGTGTAGAGTACTAAAATACGTAGGGCTATCAATGAGTTTTTTAAGTCAAAGCTATGAAATGAAAGTATGCAGTTTCTGTAGGGTTTTGGTTATTTTAACTTTCACAAACCTTACTATAAACTAATCTTTATTTGGACATAGCGCTCTTTATTGTGACTACAAAGCTATGAAGTATTTAAATGTAATCGTGTTCAAAGCCCATTATTCATAATTACGATTAGTGTAAGATTGTGACGATAATCATTTCTTTTGGTTAGTATAGTATTATTACTACCCTATATTGATGCAGCTACGACGGTACAGTGCCTACACCACTCAAGTCGGTTTTGTATTTTGTTTTTTATATAATATAATTATATGTATTATATTATATAATATATATAAAAATAAACTACTATAAACAATTAGGGTTTGCACATATGTCACATTTTTAATGGAAATAAAATATATATTTCCATTATTCTTATTAGTATTAGGTCCCAAAACAAATATTTTAAGATCAAAATATTAAATATCCCATTAAATCAGTAGCATCTCGGTAAATAGTGACGACATTGAGATTTCCACATTCACATTGAACTCGTACACCAAATTTCAAACATTACCAAGAAGGTTGCGTCAACCGTGGCCTTCATTGTTACATTTTAAAATCATTTTTGGATGTCATGGCTTTCAGGCAACGGGTCAGTATTTTACGTTTATTCTTCTCCTCATATAATTTTTGGACTCAGTAGTAGTAGCAGTAGAAGTAGTAGTAATTAGACTCAGTAGTAGTAGTCTAAGGAGTTAAGCTACTTACAGTGTGTAAGTCAGCGTAAGAGTTAAGTGTATCTAGTTAAAGCAAGAACGTAGTTAGTTAAGTTAAATTAAGTTAGTAGTAGAGCTAACTAAAAAAGTTAGTTTAGTCAGTCCCTGGTGCAGGTAGTTTGGCTTAGTTAGTTAAAGGCTAAATGCCTATGGCCTATAACTTTTCTTAAGTCTTAAGTTTAATTTTTTTAAAAAGAATCTGAATCAGTCTCAGAGTGTCACTCAGTCAATCAGTCAAAGAGGGATTACACAACTGAAATTCAGAGAAAATACGAACTAAGTCTAAGGCAGACTAAGGGTCGTCCATTAATTATGTCAACAAAATTGGGGGAGCGAGGGGGTTTGGAAATGTTTGACAATTCAATTGTTGACAAGGGGGAGGGGGTGGGGTGTTGCGTGTAAATAAGTTGACATGAACAATCATGTTTTCTCTATTAAAATTTTAATCTTAAAAATTGACTAGTTATTAAATTATTTTAACAAATTTAATGAGTGTACAGTAACGTAAATTAAAATAGATATATAATTTTTAGGCTTTTAACTGTATAAGTATAAGATTTTTTTAATGTGTGTCTCAGTGTCTGTCAGAATGTTAGCACACTTTTTTAGTGCAAAAGAAGTCAAAAGTTGGCCTTCCTTTGCCTGTAGATTCAGTTTGTCGCAAATGACTAGGGCATTAAGTTTTGCATGGTGTTGCAAGTATAGAACAAGATTCAAGTGTCATGTGCAGTCAAGATAAATGATATTGATAGAGTAGGAATATGATATTTTGAGACTTAGCGGAAAGTATAGTGAGTAACAATAATATCATTGCTGCTTGAACGGATTCGCAAAATCTGTAACAGCTGTTTTGCATCACAAGTCATGTTCAAATAGCATTTTGCTTCAAATTTCTTTTTGAACACATTATTTTGTTTTACTATATAGTATAGTGCGTTCTAAAAGCAATTTGGACGAAAATTTTAAAGTGTGAACTGAAAAAAAGATTTGACCCAATTTCCATTCAATCAAATTTCCGTCGATCAATTTTCTGTCGACGCAATTTATTTCTTGAGCTATGTATAGCCTATACATTAATTTTAGAATCATGTGTGCACTGCTGTTTTCCCTCTGTGTGATGTGTGCACACTCGCACAGCTTACAGGCAACATTTCTGGTATAAGAATTTTTTTTTTTTTTTATTGTTGAAAATTTTGGCAAAAAATGTGGTCAGAATGATGTATGAGCAACAGTATTAGTATAAGAAATAGGCTTTTAGAGGTCTAGACAATAAATAGGCCTTCAATATTCAGAGTGACTCTAAGCCTAAATAAAATAATTTTTTATGCAGTACAAAATGATTGTCATAAGAAGTTAACAATGATTATATCATTTTAGTCTTATAATAGAAATAAGTACTCTACTTTTCAGGTTTTGGAATGTTTAAAGAATCTTCACAGGGTAAAGCGAGAGGTCTTTGAAGGTGATCCACAAGCGTTGTCAGGTGGGTAGTAGATTTTGTATACCTGTAGTTAGAATTTTTTTATGTGCATTCATTTCAGATCAGTTACTATTTGTGATATATATATTTAAAACACTTTGGAAAATTATATTAATAAATACATTAATGGATGGCGTTTTCAAATCATAATAAATTGACATATTTTTTTAGTGACACTATAATTGTTTTATTCTTCAGTTACCACAAAGAAAATCAGGGATGAATTTAGAAAAAATATTTTTTTGACTGATCCGGCAAAAATTGAAGAGGTTTGTATAGGTGCATTGTCAAGGTCATGGAATCATTCATATTTTATTTTCTATTGGAATGTGTGATGTATTGTCATCTCATGGGTCAAGCATTTTCAAATGTCTCTCTTAAAAGCATGAAATCTAGGGGCTATTGTTTATGCGTAATATAACTTTGTAACTTCTATTTCAGGCCATTATACTAGCTAGAGATACAGCAATGGTTCTACGAGCAACTGTGGTCCAATTAAGGCAAAAGAATGATGACACATTTGGTAGGTAGACCTTTTAAAGAGGTTAGGCTTATGTTCTGGTCTTATTCTTTTGTTTTTGAGTGTTAGACTATTCTAACATAATGGGAATAGCACCAAAAAGTAGAACTGTATATTCTATACATGTGCATGTTAAACAGAATATAATTGGTCACAATAGTCTGTATATATGCCATGCTTTGTTTTGTATTCATCTTTTCAAATTTAAAAAAATTTCAGCCTACCTTGTAAAAACATTTAATGTAACTTTGTGAAGCGCTAATGGTCTGCATTTTAGTTCTGGGTACCGGTATGGTAATTTCTGTTAGTTGATATCTTTTATATATAACATATAGAAATATATAAATTTTCTCCCACTTATTTTAATTAAGTCTCAAAGCAAGGCCTCTTGTTTGTATAAAAGTTATTTTATCAGCTCTTGCCATCATCCAAGCCACATCAAATATTAAATGAATCAATTAAAAAATTTTATCCACAGAGCTTCGACTGACCAAGCACACTGCCATGCAAAAGAATGTACCTTATGACCCTACAAAGGAAGTACCACCACTTAATCCTCGCAGAAAAAAGTGCTCTCCAGACTGAGCTTTTTCAAACTGCTCATTTAAAATCCTTCCACAAACTGTACATTTGTATTTAATGTTTGATCAAAAGCATATAAAAGATGTGTGATTTCAAGGCATACAGCCATGAGTCTGATGGCTCGCATTTATATGCTGTGTAAATTGTACACTTTGATATATTAGGCAGTACAGAGGAGTGACAACCGCAATTTTGCATCCATCTGCATATATATGTTACGATGTTACATTTTTTTCTGCAAAGTTTGAAATACATTTGGACCATTTTAAGTCTGATGTATTGACATATGTAAATGCAAGTAATGTTGATTCTAGTGGGATGAAGAATTCAGTGTGTGCAGAAAAATGAATCGTGTATGGTGCTATAAAAAAATTGGCACTGAATAGTTGAATAGGAGTTGGTTCCAGAAGTAAGTTACAAAACATGCACATTGTGATATTCTAATGTAATTCAGATAAAACACAGCTTCAAGACACTGAACTATTCTTTAGGTGATGGTTGGTTCCAATATTGTGTTATTTTGTTGAAAGCTTACTCAAACTTAAAGTATCTTATCAGGCTGATTTTCTCAACCATGTTCTATATTATAGAGTACTTGTCTGATAAAATCATTTTTGTTTGCTAAGTCATTGTGGGAAATTAATTTGGGAGGACTATGTCTCAAAGTGAATTAAATGAGAAATAGGGGATCAATTTAAGGGTAAATATGGGTGTGTACCATTCCCATGGCACATTTTAATTTTTGTAAAGGATATACTTATTGGTCAGTTTATAGCTTTTGAAATAACCTAATGAACTCACAGTGGGTACCATACGCAGTATTTTCACAATATCAGCACATGTCTTTTTATATTATATATCCATATCATGTGTTTGTATTTGATAGTTATGTTAGTAAAAAAAATAATTTTAACATGATATACAATTTAAGAACAGTGATGTTATGATGCAATTAAAGAGCAATGTTTTTTTAAGAATCAATTTGTTTTGTGCTTTACTGTTATTGCCTTTGATTGTGGTGATGAATCTACAGCAGACCTAAATTAGTTTTAGGCAAGGGTCGTCAATATATTACCTACGCCCTAAGGGTGGGGAAAGATATTGCATATGCTGGAGGGGTCCAGGCAGAAAGCATGTGCGATTATGCACAAATTCTGCAATAATAATACAGTCCATAACTGGCCTACTTTTTAGCTCTGATAAAACTATATATTGTCTAAAAATCTTTGATTTCTAACTATTTTAGAAGGCTATAACAAAAATTGTAGCCCATTGTTTCTTAATTATCACAATACTGTTGCGTTGTGTTTTCATATGTTAACAGTAACAGGTTTGATATTGCACTAGTAACAGTACTATTTATAGGTCACTGTAGTGGGTTTATTTTGTTCAGCCAGTTGCTCTTAATATTTTTCAATCCTTGGAGAGCCAAATTTAGTTGCTTTTTTTTTCTCCCCCAGGTGCCTTTTTTAACAAGTAGGTTAGTAGTTCTGTAGACTAGGGATCACTATATGTACATATACACAGTCTATACCACTCGCTGGTTGACGAGATCTGAAGAACAACAACCCTATGAAGTTGTTGAAATTTTGCATGGTGAGTTCTCTAATGGTGCGGCACTTGTTTTTTTCTTATATTTCTTGCTAACTGAAGCGTTACTTTCGTTGAGGGGCACAGTGGACACACTAGGAACAACTGAATGACTTGGACTTTGCAAATGGCATTGCACTTGTGTCCCACAGCTAATGCAGGACTATTTCAGCGCAGCTTGGACTCAAAATAAATAGGAGCAATACAACAAAGAACATATCTCCATGGGTGGAAATACACTGGGGAAAATGGAAGAGGCGGAGGCCTTCATCTACTTGGGCAGCAGAAATGGTGGATCAGATGACAAGGCTGGAATTGGGAAGGCTGGGTCAGCATTTGTGGTGTTACCGAAAATATGTGACTCTAAGAAACTGAAACTAAATCTGCAAACTAAATTTTAAAATTAAAAATTTTAACACCAATGTCAAATCAATGCTATATTTTTGGGGCAAGTTGATGACGATAGACTGAATACTTTTATAGTCCATGCCATTTTAGCAGTATTTTGTACCTTCGGGAGTCTCTGAATTTGGTTTTCAGGTAGACCCCAAAAACAACTATTACAGTAATCTAATTTTGATTGGACGAGAGTGACTGCTTATCGCAGAACGTAATGGAATATGTCCTAAGAATTGAAAACCGATGCATTTGAAAATTATTATTATTATTAAGGTGGTTTTATATAGCGCAGTACCCCAGCCTAGGACTAGGCTCACTGCGCTTCACATAAAACATAGCAATTTCAGAAAATTATACATTCAAAAACAACAATTGGTAAAAGCTTGACATCACCCACCCAAATACCCCTGTCCACCCATGGACAGCATCCAACAGCATCAATCGTTGCTTATCAGTTAGAGGGGGGTGAGAATGAGTCGGTATAGTACAGTTTGAAAAGATTTTTAAAAATTTAAGTTTAAAAACGTTTAACTTGTTTGATTAATAAGCTAAACATGTAATGAAATGTTTTTCAGTTTTTCGTACACTTGTGTGTGATTACAAAATCAGCACAAAGTAAAATTAAATTATTTTTTTTAGGAAAGGGGGAATATAAAAAGTTGACATAATTAAATAGGGGGGTACCTGAAAGTTTGAAAGTTGTTGATGTGGGGGGGGGGGGGGATAAGGGGGTAAAAAATTGCGTTAAAATTGTTGACGGAATTAATGGACGACCCCCTGCTGATAAACCGTTGAAACTAAATTTTTGAAAAAGTTCAAATTATCTGGTGGGGGGGGGGGGATAATGGGGTAAAAAATTGCGTTAAAATTGTTGACGTAATTAATGGACGACCCCCTGCTGATAAATCATTGAAACTAAATTTTTGAAATAGTTCAAATTATCGTATAATATATAATCACAGCAGCGGCTTATGAATTTAAACAAAAAGTTTTTTTTACTGAATTTTAAAGAATAACCAAACATCACTTATTAGAGCAAAACGCATCTCTTAGACCGAAAATATTAAAGTTCATGTTCGAACAATTCATTTTATTTTACTATGATGCATTTTTAAAAATACAATTTAAAAAAAACACCTTTGACCCCTGCTTTATGATGAAAACAGTGCCCTCAAACTTTTAACGATGACATAATACACATAGCTTTACAAATAACTATATTTTTGAAGTTTTCAAGTAACCATTTGTTGTGTATTTGTTAAATTTATTATTATTTTATTTAGTTCATAATATGATATAATGCTAATAGAAAATCGAACACAGATGGCTTTGTACGGCGTTGCTGAAAATTTCCACGTTGGTATTTTTGTGAAAGAGCAGCTGGCAGTTCCGCTTTAGAGGTCGAATAGAACTTCCGTCATGCGTAGAAGAGTGTATCAATGCTATGGCTTACACATGTGGTGAGTGAAAAAAACTATTTCTGTTTTTAAAAAGCTCATTTCTATTGTTAGGATTCAATTTCTGCACACTCCTCATGGTCTTTTATACTCTAAGGTCCATTTTAGACAAAAATACAGACATTTTGAATTTTTCCATAGACTTAGTTTGTGATTTCATTGTGCTTTAATCAAGCTACCCTAAATCACCGTCTCACCACGATGTCTTTGAAAAAAATGTGGAATTAGTAAAGAATAGGCCTATTTCACTTAGCCCAGGTCCTATTTATTTATTTGAACTCATTATTTTAAATTCTAGTCGTTTTCAATTGTACAATAATGATTTGGGTTAGTGTGTATTCCTTTCAATTAAAAAAATCAAAGAATTTTAAAATGGAATAATTTTGTTGGATGTCAAGTACTGAACTATTTTGGGGAAAGAAATTAGTCCATTTGACTTTGAAAAGTTGGAGTAAATACATAATGAGGCTTAAAGTTTTTGGCGAGTTTTCAATGTCACGGCATTATACTATGAGCAGTTTTACTCTAAAAGTTATCTGCTGTGATGTTTTTTCTTCAGTATATAGTATATAAACCTAATAAGTTTAAAATAATAAGTTCACTGGCTTGGGTAAGCCATTGCAATTGCTATAATTAAGCCCAGTCTTTACTCATCATTACTGACATTATCCAGCACAGACATTATCCCATTAAGGGTTAAGGTAGAATGGGTCCTAGGCCTATTTTCACTGAAACAATCATCTAATTACTAAAAGCGTAATCATATAATTTGTTTACCAGCCCAATTAAGTCACACGACACAGGGTTTTGTATACTCTTACTACTCTTAGTAAAAAAAACTCTTAGACTTAGTGTTGAACTCGCTAAAGCTTTCAAGTAGATTAATTAGGCGCTAAAGGCACTAACAATGTTAGTGTTAGTAACAATTTGTGTATATAAAACAATATGGCTAGGGATAACAATACTTGTTCACGCACCGTTCTGCGCATGTCCTAAAATGTCGAAAAAGTGTGTTCTACAATATGGCGTACGGCTATACGGTATCTTTGGAAAATTGCATACTACGTAGCCTTTGTTTATTAAATAATGCTTTCCTCATCAGTGACGTATCAGTTTTTGTGTTCCGGTGATATATTGATTTATGCTACAAGATTTTTTGTGTATCACGGACAGTATTATTATAATGACTCGGTTAGTTTATAAATCGCATAAATACTTTTTTACTAGTAAAGCCACCAAAATAAGGTTTAGTTCCACCCAATCTACATTCATTGTAAGAGTTTTTTCATTTTTAGAGTTATTATCGTTGATCTGTCTATAAAAAGTTATGCATCCCACGAAGGAGTGGGGGTATGAAATTGTCTTTTTTTTTTTTTTTTGATCAAGAAGCCGGAAATGGCTGCTATCACTGTGATTCGTTAATGTTAAATCCTTTAAACAGCTAAATAATGATAAGACGTTTAAAATGAATAATTTTAAGAAAAGATTATAACCAAAGTTTAATTATGTAGTAACCAAGGGTTGGTTTTAAGTTTTATTTATTACGTTAAAAATTGTGTACGGTACCGGTAGACAGTTTATCGTTCTTCATAATTATTGAATCAATATTTAAATTTAATAGTGTTACAATAGTAATGTCAATAATAATAATCGTTTTTCTCTTAATAATTATTTCAGAGAATATTACTAAAATTAGGCCGATATATCAGTTATAATTATAAACAACTGTTATTATAATCCTATAATAGTCTATTTAGGCCTAAGCTTAATTTTTCATAATCATAATTCTATTACTAGTACTACTAGTACTACGACAATCAACAACCACACTTACTAATAATATATTTTTTAGTTAAGCCTATATATAACAGTTTTATTAAAATACATCAAATTAATAAACAAGAATCAAACAACATCATCGTTGTAATTATATTTTTATTAGAACATAGAAAAGCAGTACATAGACAATTATTTAATATATCAAATAACATTTTTTAATAAATTAGTCTCATCATCATAGATGATTTTGAGTAATTTTTATTTATAATTACATGCGTTCCAATTTATATATATAAAAAAGACTACTTACCTTTTTATAAATATAATTGATTTAAAATGTAAAACAAGCATAATAAAATTAGTTAAAATTCAATAAACATGTTATTTTTTCGTTTTTTCCTGTATAAATGATGATTTTCCCAATTTTTCTCTTCACTTTTTTCTGAACATACCCTCAAATAAATATTTAAAAAAATAAAAGTCTTGATGTTATGTAAAAGTTTTGTTGTTTATTGGGTTGTATATTGCATTGAGAATCTCTCCTGAAAATTTGGTAGCATTATCTTTTAAAATCCAAAAGTTTTGGGCAAAATAAGGCAGAAATTTGGAAAGTGGGTCACACGTTTTTTCATTTAAATACTAAGATAAAGAAGGGGGTTTTAAAAAATCACCAAAAAAATCATAACTCCACTTCTATAAAAGATAGAAAGATGAAATTGGTGTTGTTGTAAAGCTTATAGCTAGTCCTTTAAAATGATGTATCATTCATAGCAATAGGACTATATTTAAAATTTGTGTCAAAGTACCTAATATGGCAATATCAATATGGGTTGTGATATTAAGCTTTCAAGGAGATTAATTAGGCACTAACAATTTGTGTATATACAAAAAAATATGGGTTAAGCTTTAATAATAATAATAATGATTAAGTAAAAATGGAAATGCCTTCATCGGTACAAAAAAATGTATTAATTAAATTTACATAATATATATTTATATATAAGATAAGATTCTTTTATTGATCCAAATAAATGGAAATGTTTTTTGCACAAAAAATAAAACAATTTGAACTCAAAACATTTATAATAAATTATTTCAGCCATTCGATGAGTTCTCTTAGCAAAATCGAGGACTTATTAGTTCTCATTCAGATGTGTGACTTCAGAGGAAGCATGCCGGTAAATTCGTACAGATTGGGGAACAAAGGAATTTTTATATCTGTCAGTCCTCACCCTGATGGAAAGAATTCGCCCCAAACGGCCCGATCCTAAGTATCTGTGATGAAGAGGGTGGGATGTATCATCCAAAATGTGTTTAGTTTTCCAAAAACATATTTCTTGAAATAGATCTTCAGGTGAAGGATGTTTAGTTTGTGTTATGTTCCTAGCTTTCTTGATTAGTCGGTTTATGCAGTGTTTAATATCAGACGTCGAATTCCCACACCAGCCGGTAATACTGAAATTAAGCAGGCTTCCAATAGTTGCACTGTAGAATAAGTTAACAACTTGCTTGTTTATGCCGAAATTGTACAGTTTTTTGAGGTAGAACAGTCTTTGGTTGAATTTCTTATACAGCATTTGGCCGTGCACATGCCATGTTAGCTTATTATTAATGGTGACACCTAAGTACTTGTATGCCTCCACTTTCTCCTCATTTTGATTTTTATGTTGAGATCTGTAATCTGGTGTTTCCCCCTCCTGAAACCAACAACCATTTCTTTTGTTTTTGAGACATTCAACTGGAGAAAATTTTCATCGCACCAATTGATAAAGCTTGTAACTAAGTTGCGGCATAGGCCTTCTCCTTCAGATATTAAGCCAACAATGGTGGTATCATCAGCAAATTTTAATATTGGAACGGTGTTGCTTGAGCTTTGAATATCATTTGTATATATTGTATACAGTACAGGAGAGAGAATGCAGCCTTGTGGTGCCCCGGTGCTTATTTCTCTGGCTAGAGATACTTGGTTGTTTACTTTGACATATTGTGGTCGATTTGTTAAAAAGTTCACTATTCAAGCCTGAATATTTAAATTGACCCCTAACGAGGAAAGTTTCTTTATCATATGGTGTGGTTGGATAGTGTTAAATGCTGATGAGAAGTCCAAGAAAAGCACTCTGGCATATGTTTTAGGACTGTTTAGGTGGGGGTCAAGTTTTTGCTGTACGTCATTCAAAATTTCTTTTAGAATTATTGTCTCAGAACATTTTATGACAATATATATAATATCATGGTAAATTTTGGGTTAACCGTATGGGTTTTTCCAATGAGAATGTCACTTTGGGGAATCCCAACACTGAACTTAGGGTGAATTATGAATAGACCAATTGCAGGACCTGAACGAAGTGTGTGATAACTTTCCTATTCTTAACTGAGCATTACTCACATCATAAACTAAAATTGACCATCGATTGTTTAATATGAAGTATATTAAAATGAATTCCCATTAATTTTTTTTACAATTCAACTTGCATGTTTCAAAAGACATGAACAAAGACACATCCTTGCTGATACCCCAAAACCAAACACTGGTGGAAAAAAAAAAAGATGTGTGCTAAAAGTGATGTCTTTTGATGAGTTAAAAATTGAAATATCCATACCATATGTTATAACTTGGGCAACAAAAGGGAGATTACTGCTTAAATTGTATTGGAAATGGGTGTAGACGCAATAGCTTAGGAAATATTTGATGGCTTGTGTTTGTGTTTCAGAATGAATTTAGATGGCATTTAAACCGGAATATTTTCATTGGAGGTTTAAAAACCTGATAGAGTCAATATATTATAATTATCATAATTTTACATGTGCAAAATCTCATTCATAAGAGTTTGCCATGGGCAAAATTACTAATGGTAGGTGAGGGGAGACCCCTCCCTCCCCTGTAAGTACCAAAATAGAAACAAAGCAATCCTGGGGGGGGGGATGATAAAATTAGAAAACAAAAACTTGCATTAAGTAAACAAAAACATAAATATAGGCATTTTTTAATACAGTGCAGTAGACGGAAGTTGGGGGGACCTCTGAGACATAAATATGCTGTGAAACACATCGCTGGCCTTACTATTCCAAAATCAACCATATATTATTTAGGTTAATATATTACGTACAAGTTTAAAACACTAAACAGTAAATAATAATAAAAATTTAATGCATTACTCAAAGAAATGCTGATCAATCAAATTTGAACATGAAACATTTTCTTTTACTTATAGATTTCGGTGGTTTATAGATTATTACAAAAATTTAACATGATGTAAAAATTAAGAGAGGCATCTATACATTTATAGTCACTCGGAGCTGTAGTTTTCAGACCACTGGTTAAAGGGGAGTTGAAATGTAATGAGGAGATAAATGTAGAAGTTTGCAAAGAAGTGTTTGCAATGTAAGGGTATAAAGTTTTTGGATGTGAAAAGTTCGAGGAGAACACAGGAAGGGTTTAGTTTAATGGGGATGAAGTTGTGGATAGACATAGTCTGACATAGTGATGTGGGACAGGCAGAATGGGGTGTGGGGTGCTTAGTCAGTCGGTCTAAGTTTTAATTGAATAAAATAACTATCAGTAAGCTGAATAATACTTGGGTCTAAACTCTTTTCAGGATTTAAAAATTTATCTCGTAACAAAAAAAAGGGCTATCATTGTTTTTTCCAATGATAATCTTCTTTAAATGTCATAAAAATTATTGTTTAATTGTATTGAAGATATGGTAAATAATTCTGATCCATTATTTGTATTAACATTTTTATTAACATTTCTTTACAGATGTTCCTCAATGTTGATGGTATTTAGCACAGTGTTTCCAAATAAATAATTAAAATTAATATGGCTGCAACGTCAGCCATAAAAGGTGATCAGGAGTCTGAAAGTAGTCCTTGTGGAACTCAAAATAATAATATGCCCTTAAAAGCAGAAAAGCAGCATGATGGTGTTAAAAACAATGCTCTCAGTGAAAAGCAGACTTTGTCAGAGGATAATGGAAAACTACTGAAGGAGAAAACTGCTAAAGAAGAACAGGCTGCAAAGAAGTTTGTTGATGCCCCACTACCTGCTACAAATGCATGGGTCAGACGTAGTGCAACACTTACAACTGATCCAACTCCAGCACAGATAAATGCTGAGCCTGGAAAAGGTAAAGGATTTTAGCATTTGGTTGCAATATCCAGATGGTGTGATTAAATATGGAGAGAAAAAAATATTAATTTGGAGCTGTATAATTTCCATAATGAATTTGTTTGTTTTCATGTCTTCTTTTTAACCCCAAGACAGGGTTTTTCAAATACTCATTTTTATTATTTTTTTCTAGCTTCTGACCCAGCCCCAGTAGCAATAGAAAAATCCCAGGAAAAGACACATATTCTTGGAAGTGCATCACACAAAACTCCAAAATCTGCCAAAGGAACTTCAAATAATCATGAAAAATCAAGACCTGAAAAGGCAAAAGTAGAAAAAACTAAAAGTGACTCTAATGGGAATAAACCTGCAGTACCTGAAAATAACCAAAAATCAAAGATTAAAAAGTTCGGTGAAGACTATGTTGAGGCTCCGCTTCCTGCTGTCAATCCTTGGAAAAAACCGTCAGGCACTAATGTAGCAACCCCTGGTTCTGCTCCATTTGTAGTAGACCAAGATCCCACTCCAGCAGCAGCAGTCATGTCTTCTGTTCGTAATAAAGAAGTAAAAGCGGTAGTGCAACCACCTTTCGCATCAGGTTAGTTAAACTTTCCTAGATGTATGGCTGGATATTTGTCATTTTATAGACTGTTGTGTCCATTATGATTAGATAATTATTGACATATTTCTAGAAGATGTTGGTCTGGTAATATATGAAAGCATGTGCACTACAATATACCAAGTTAAGCTTTCTTACGATTTTTCCTGTGTTTTATTAATGCTTATTCTTCTCTTTCCCATACACATTATCACATTCTTCCATTGAAGATGATAATTATTTAATAAATTATGAAGTAAGATTTAAAACAATATTCAAATATTATTGACTGCAGTTGATATAAAGTTAAAAAATAAAGTTAGAAACTTTAAAACCAGAAAATAAAATGTAACCTAACAAAAAGTATGCATCATCATAAACATTATAAATAAATTAACTTGTAGCATATTAAGCTGCTTTAAATAAAATTTAACCTCACAAAAAGTATGCATCATCATAAACATTATAAATAAATTAACTTGTAGCATATTAAGCTGCTTTAAATAAAATTTAACCTCACAAAAAGTATGCATCATCATAAACATTATAAATAAATTAACTTGTAGCATATTAAGCTGCTTTAAATAAAATTTAACCTCACAAAAAGTATGCATCATCATAAACATTATAAATAAATTAACTTGTAGCATATTAAGCAGCTTTAAATATTTTTTGAAAGTCCAGAGTTATGCAAAATAAGTTACAGCAATATTACTTATACAAATCAATAAAAAATATATATGTTCAAGATGGGTTTGCAGCATATATTCATAATTATTTTTATTAATTTAAAAAAAAATTATGCCTGTTTCTAGTCATCTTAGGGTAAGGAGTTATGACCGAGCCAAATATTTGGTAGTGAACCATAACATTGTTTAATTTTGATTGCACAGATGCATACAATTTAATTAAAAAATATAGAGATACATGTAAAGGGAAGCTAGAGTAAATATAACTACATTTGATTTGCCAGGAAATCTGCCTCATGGAATCATGTAGGCAGAGTCTGGTTTAATTGACCTGTGAAGTGAAGCCACCATTAGCTCTGGTGAGTGGCGTGCCATTGATGAGCATAACACTAACATCAAAACCTGGTGTTGTCCAAGTGCTGATACTATGGTTGATAGTGGAAGGTGCACACCCTGAGCAACATCCCAGGAGTAGACATATTGTGTGTGTGTATAAAAAATATGCATCTTTTCTTCATTTTAAAAAGTTGTCTCCTCATTTTAATGAGCCAGAAGAAATCTGCTGTCGAGTCGACATATTACTAGTATCCAAGTTACAACTGTGGCTAGTTGGAAGCATTTTGTTTTGTCAAAAGTTAATTCATCTTTTAGAAATGGCAGCTTACCAATTATCTGCTGCACTTAATTGCTGCCACCTTATGTCTGTATACCATTTCCAACAAAGGAGAACCTCTTGTTGAGATTTCAGGCTTTAGGGGGAGATAACGTTATTTTAATTTTCAAGTGAGCTTTTAAGGTTCTTTAAAGTAAAATGTAAGGTGTTGCCAGTACATTATTTTTAAAAGTATTTTGATAATACATGCAATTGAGTTCATTTCCTTATACCTTGAACATGCTTATAACATGTGTTATAAATTCAGAAATTTAGTATTGCAGCTGCAGAGATGGCTATATTTTGTTGTAGATTGGTTTTATCATTAAACTATTTGGAATCATCTTTCTGTATTACAAATCTAAGGCATTGCATTTTCAATTGTGTTTTAAAAAATTGAAATTGGCTACTTTTGTTGAAAAGTGCCTCTATTCCAACTACTTCCTGATTCCTTAATATTTTTATTGGTTACCTTAGTGGCATCTTTATTCTGTAATCCCCACGCTGTGTAGACCGCGAGGTTTGTGGGATCAGACCTAAATTGAGTCGATTTTCTAATTATCAGTACTGACTTCTGTCAGAAATGTTTATTGGCTTTATGAAAAGCATTTTTAAAACCTCCTCACTCTGGGGAGCAGCTATGAGAGTGTACAGATTTATATATCTTCACTGATGTTAATCTGATGGAGAGACGTAGATGGGCCATATGTATGACTCTCACATAGTTAAGATTTGTGTGGTTGTTTATCCATGTTCATGTATAGCATATATGACTCAATTTACTCTCAAAGCTGTAGAAAAGGGGTCACCAAACTGCAGTTTATCAGGCCCTCTGACGGTACTTGAATTTTTGATAAAACGCATGGGACATGAGGCGTCATACAATTTAAATTCAATGATTATGTTTAACATTAGGTACTCTAAAAAAAATAATTAAAAATTCAAAAAAATATTAGTTATGTATAACAAATTTCAAATAAAAAGATATGAAACCAGAATAAGCTTTCTAGCTTAAGCTCTTTTTGAGCTATGGTTTGGTCTTTTTTAACGCTAGGCTACACCTACACATTTTGTGACCCCATTCCACTGAACTCAATATGATAATTTTATATAACTTTTATTTCAGGATTAATCATAAATGCACTGAGTATTTAAAGTTATAATTATAAAATTAATTTTAACAATATACTGCAATTTTAAATAAATTATGTCTTATTTGGCTATGTATTATTACATTAAATACGTTTTGGACATTTTGTTTGCCAAGTCTAACCAAGTCCATTATATATACACGCAAAGCATATACATTACACAAAGTATATAGTGTATATAAGGCATTGTAATGCAAGGCATCCCTTAAAATTACACTGTTTCAACTTTTGCACATGACTAATTAATTAAAGATTTTTATGACCAATCTGTGTTTTCACACAGCACATTTATTCTCTTATGAATAAAACTATGAAAATAGCACATGCAAATGACTGTGAATGGTTGCCCATGACAAAGTTTTGCATGGCAAATTGATCATTTATTTATGGATTCTAACTGGTTTTTAAACCTCAGAATAAAATATTCTTGTTTAAATTACTTCTAAGTTCACTCTACAACACAAATTATCAAATATTTTGATGCAAATAGTGGTAGTAAATAAATATTTCTTAGTATCTGAATATTCAGCCATTAAAAAGTGTGCGTGGTTGAAATGTAGAGAATTTTTTATGCTCCAGCGTTTGTCATTTTATTAGTTTTCTGTCGTGTTGTGAAAAAAGTTTGGCGACACCTGCTTTAGAAAATTCGGGCATTTGTCTGTTGTCTGCTGTGAGGTCATGCGAAGCATTGCTAGAGCAGTCTACACTGCTGTGAGGTCATACAAAGCATTTCTAGGGCAGTCTACACTGCTGTGAGGTCATGCAGAGCATTTCTAGAACAGTTTACACTGCTGAGAGGCCATACAAAGCATTTCTAGAGCAGTCTCCATTGCTATGAGGTCGTACAAAGCATGGATAGAGCAGTCTACACTGCTGTGAGGTCATGCAAAGCATTTCTAGAGCAGTCTCCACTGCTGTGAGGTCATACAAAGCATTGCTAGAGCAGTCTACACTGTTGTGAGGTCATACAAAGCATTACCAGAGCAGTCTCCACTGCTTTGAGGTCATGCAAAGCATTTCTAGAGCAGTCTCGTCTCCACTGCTGTGAGGTCATACAAAGCATTGCTAGAGCAGTCTACACTGTTGTGAGGTCATTCATACAAAGCATTACCAGAGCAGTCTCCACTGCTTTGAGGTCATGCAAAGCATTTCTAGAGCAGTCTCGTCTCCACTGCTGTGAGGTCATACAAAGCATTGCTAGAGCAGTCTACACTGTTGTGAGGTCATACAAAGCATTTCTAGAACAGTCTACACTGCTGTGAGATAATACAATGCATTGCTAGTGCAGTCTACACTGTTGTGAGGTCATACAAAGCATTACTAGAGCAGTCTCCACTGCTTTGAGGTCATGCAAAGCATTTCTAGAGCAGTCTCGTCTCCACTACTGTGAGGTCATACAAATCATTGCCAGAACAGTCTACACTCCTGTGAGGTCATACAAATCGTTGCTAGACCACTGAGAGGTCATACAAAGCATTGCTGGACCATTCTCAACTGCTGTCAAGTTTTACAAAGGATATGTGTATAAGACAATGCTAGAGAAATCTTTGCTGCTAAGTCTTACAAAGCATAGGTTGTACAAGGCAATGCTATAGCCACCAAGTTATCCAACTGATTCAGCCTATACACAGTTAATGAGCAAAATCGAAGTTGTTAATATTGTCAACATTTCACCCACGTTGATCCTGGTTAAATTGTCATCCCTTCAATGTTATATCTCGTCAACTGCTTCAGACAATAGGCACGAATTATTTGGTGATGTCTTTTGAGACATCGCAGTACCCACTAAAAACATTTTCTTAAGATGTTGCTTATTAAGGACAATTGTAGATTAAATTTAAATGCGATCATTTCCCTGTTATTTCACAAAAAGCGCCCCCGTTCTTCTTTGGTTTAATAACTACAGAATCGCTCGATATCTATTCAGTCCTTTATAAACTGACCTCTTCATTGGTGATGCACTCTCACCTTACTAATCCAGGAGTCGGTGTTATATTGAATATTATCACTGTGTTCAATTTTATGAAAAGATTTATCAAATTCGAACTATTTTTGTGCTGTCAGTGTTCGATAATCGTTTAAATTTAGGTCTGTTCCAAGTCGCCCCTGACTGTAAGCATATTTGAATTTTTTTTTTAAATGAAACTTTTAACATTGCTTTTGCCCGGAAGATTTGTATCTTATTTCAGGCTTTGTAATTCTGCTACCTCTTCTGCTCTTCTGATAGTCGTTTTGGAATACACACGTCTCCTATGTCACCGCTTGACCCTTGGTCCTCATTACGTCATCAAATCCCTTTACGCTATAGCTGGTTTAGCATGTCTGTTACAACAACGGAGAGTTGTCTGTATTGATTGCCCTCCCCCAAATGCTTTTGGGCTGTTGTGTTCAAACTGGTTCTCCTGTGCAACTGCCGCACGCGATGACTTTGTACTGTAAACGTGGTCAGCCATCAGGTCACCCATTACTAATTGTTTGTTGGTTATATACGCGTAAGTGTAATTCCCCCCCCCCCCTCCTATTCCACATATGAAATTATTGGACCACATCCCCAGATACACGGCGAAATGAATCTTCTTTGTTTACGTTATTTCACTCCATCCCAAACTTCTTCCCTATCCATTCCCACTTTTTTTTTTATAAAATCTAATTATTTGGTTATTTCTGGTCAAAGGGCGTTCAGACAACAAAATGTCCGTGCTATTTTTTTTCTTCTGTTTTTTTGTTTTACGCTGCAAGCTTCCATAATTTGTTCCTGAATATTCCTAAGGAAATAATTGAAAGCAATGGTCTCCAAACGCTTTGAACCCATGCTTAAAAAGTTATGGTTACATTCTCTTACCGTCCTTTACAGGATTTCGACTAAAACATTTGTATTAGTGGTTTGAATGGGGGCACTCAAATGGCAGTAGAGGGCGTATCCAAATTGTGTGTGGTCGTCACATCATGGGCGTCCATGTACACACGGTTTGAATTTATTAATATCTAATATAGCATGAGTCCCCTTGTGAAATCCATAATTTGTCATTGTTTAGACAAAGGGTTTCAAAATAGCACGGCAATCTTCCGTGATTGTCTTCATTACACTGTTGCTTTGCGTTGTCACATTAATAGGAACAGAAGTTCACCGCCAAGTTCTTTCAGTGACGTAATTTGTAACCCAATACATATAATCTGTTGGTGGTAACTTAAGTAACCGGAGTTTTTCAATAAAGATACTTAATGTAGTTTCTTTTTATACATGGATACTGACAGCCTAGGGGAGACAACTCGTGAGATGATATTCTTATGGTGCTTTGGTTCACTGTTGCATCGTTTAATGGTCTTGTGGTTGACTTCATCATTGTCTTGAAATAAAATTGTGTGTGGATCTACCCCATCTCTCTCTCTCTTTCTTTCTCTATAGTTTGGCCGGGGGGGGGGGGATAAGCTAATTTGTAATTGTTACGAACGCAAGTGGGTATTATTTAAACGTACAGGCGTAATCGTAGGGGGGGGGGTTCTATACAGTTGATATATTGCGTCCAGGAAAATACATGGATTGCGTTCAAGCCGTGTGAACGAAATAGTGGAACAATGTACCCTGAAGCTTGAGATGAAAAGATGGGACAATAATATAGCACTTGTCTTCGGACTGCTAACTTACCCACTTCACGTAATCCTATCAACTGAAACTTTGCACATAGATTCGTTCCCGATGAAAATACATTGTCACAAATAACTGGGGCGGAGGTGCAGGACAGAGCTCCATTGTGGTTAAGATAACTTATTAGATAGACGGAAATTGCTGTTGCTTTAGGGACGGCATTGCTAAAGGGTTGGAGATTAAGGTTAATAGATTGTCTAATCTTGAGATAGAGGGGATTGTTTTTTTCCATGACTTCGCATGACAATTTTTGGGTTAACAACGGGAAGTTCTAATTGACCGGAAATTAGGGGGCAGTGGTGTTTATAGATAGCATTCCTGGACCACCTATGGGGGTAGAGAATCGCATATAAGACAGAACTTTAGTGAAGTTAGGGAGTTGAGGTAGAGAGAGAGAGAGACAAGAGCTGAGAGAGCAGTTCATAGGGAATAGTTGCTAAGAGATCAGGAGACCACAGTTGACTAGAAGAACATAGAAAAAGTTGAGACGAAACAGTGAACAGTCATAGCTTTAGAGATTCATATAGAATAGCTGACAGTTAGTGAAGACTATAGAAGAGCTTTTTATTTGTGTAATAAATATAGTCCATTTTATCATTGGACACCTGGAGTTTGAGTTGTTGGATTTCGTTCAAGTCTACGTTGTGCTTTGCCTGTCCCAACGCCTAGACACCCACAATATATACCACAGAGAGGAGCGGTCCTGTACTGACCACTACTAAGTCAATATAGTTTGTGATAAGTCGAGACCGGAGGCCTCCTCTGTAACAACCGTTTGGTGACATACATTTTATCAAATTTTCAGCCCCACTCCACCCCCAAAAATTAGTTTTAACTCTGCCTGGTGGCTACCAGATGCCACTGATTTTAGGAAGTGAAATTCCCAAATAACTGCGCTAAATGAGATTCTTAAAAATATCTCTTTGGTGCAATATATTTTCTTTTGTGTTATAGAAATGATAGGTGTAAGAAATCTGCGGTGTTAAAGTGGGTGGGACATTAGAAAATTTAGTTCATGGGTTTGAAAAAGATGTGGGGTTTGCGAGCTGGGGTGGGGGGGAGAGCACTTATTGGGAGTCTTATAAATAAAGTGCGTTACTTGAATGCATGTTTTGTCAAATTGCTGGATATTACATTTTATAAAGTATTTATAAGAAAAACTTTAGGTGTTGGTTAATTGTTGTCTTTTCATTTCAAGCTTCAATATTGCGTCATTTGCGTTAAAACCATGTCCCATTTTGTGTGTTTTTAATGGTTTACCCGAAATAAAATGAGGCCGCTAGTTTGGTCAAGAGGGAAATATAGTAAGAAAACACGAAAGCAGCACATGGCCTGCGGTACACAATCAACGGTGATGTGGACCCCCCGCACACATCGTCCGTGTGTTATTCCCAGGCCAGCTGATGCAGCATGTGCCGTCTGTCGCGCTGGGTTTGGCAGATGTGACGTCTCCGTGTCGTGGTCTCGCCTCTCCACGGATTTACCTAGCCCAGTTGGCACAACTAGGCAAACATGATGAAGTCGGTTTGGATGCGTTTGGGTACGTAAATAGAAATACATTTTTGTTATTACTTGTGTTAAAGGAATATTATTGCCTTAATATAAAACTATCTGCAGGCCTACTTTGTTTACGTCAAATAATCTTATCCATTTTGATATAACGCTGAGGCATGCTTTCCCATAAGTCTATTATCTTCAACTGTATTTTTACGACACGAGGGAGAAACCAACATATGGTACGTTTTTTTTATTTCACCGTGCTTGCAGTTCATACAAAGTTCATCTATGTAAGGGCTACTTACAATTTTAAACAACACGAAATATTTTGCCTGTCATTAGGGCTTATTACATTTGACAGCATTGACGCCAACTTCACATTTTTAACGAAAGTAATGAGGACTTTTTTTGTTGAATATGATTATAGCCATAGTGATGTGTCAGTTCATTTTTAAGTTAGCAAAAACTTTTGGTCAGATGTTTTAATAAAAAGATGGCTAGGGGGGGATATGTACATTTTTAGTAAGATCTTGCTTATTGGCAGTATATAATAAATTGTATTAAATTTTAAATGCTTGAGTTTTAGTGAATGTCATTTTAAGACTATTAAATAACCTTAATATAACCATTTGTGCGGAATACTATCTAATGCAAACGTTGCACTAAAGTGATATAATTTGTACATGCAGTTATCCACATCTATATTTTATAAATAATATTTATAGGAGAAGATAGGATAGGAGAAGAATTCTAAATGATATTCAAGAATATCATTGAGAGCATAGATAGAATTTTAGTCCACATGTTTATTTAAATATATTATATTATATATATATATAATATAGTTGTTCGTCCGTCGAAGTCGACTAGGACCATCGAGTCATCCGGTTAAGGGGAGGTTGGGATTACGGTGAGCTCGTAGGTGGCTTGCTAGATCGATCCTTGCTCAGAATAATCTTTTACACCATGGGCATGGAATAGTTGCTTCAGACGGTAACCTAATGTTGCTCTTTCTATTATATATATATATATATTACATATATGCTTTAAAAAATAGTTTTCCAATGTTTTAAACAAATTCTATTGGTTGAAATTAGATATTATTTTTTTAAACAACAAATATTCATACTGCAAAATAATTACTAAGTTGTTGTATGCTGTTAAAGTCTAAAATTTATGTGTATACATAAACACACATGCCATATATAAATATGAGCTATGTAAGTGTAGTTTCAATTATTGTCTACTGCATGAATGGATGTAGACAGAACTTGGTACACAAACTCTTGATTATCTGGATTTAAATATTGGTCGATTCTGAACTCAGATCCACTATTTTGGGGCATAGAGCTCCAATTTTTTTTCCTTACATAGGTATGTTTGTTCCACATTATGACACTTGGCACTTACATCCAACCTCCAGAATGTAATACTGTCGTGTTTTTTTTAACTTACAAAACAGGATTCGGGCCTGTGGCCCTAAATTTGTTTGTTTAAAAAGAGAATAAAATTTATTTCTGTTCCTCTTTTGCACGTGAGAAGTCCCTGACTATTTTCAAATTGTGGCCTGGACTTGTGCTTTACTTAATTTAAAGTGAGGGAGAGTTGGTCAATTCTTTATTCTCACTCTCTTGTCCATGCTTATTTGATCCAATGGCAAGACTTAGTCAAGACAACTGGTAATAGTCCTGGATGCAGTAGATAACCAGCAATGTGTGTTTCACTGTGCTCTTTATGTGCTCTATATATGTCGCAGGGGTTGTTGGAATTTTCATCATGTCATTGTCATACTGCCTACGGGACCCCATCTGCGAGTGTGCCTCCAAGGTTGGCATCCAAGGTTAACAAGTCCCATCTTCCTGGGGTGTTGGTGATGTTTTTGTTTGTATAGGTGTTTTCTGAGGATCAAAGTCTATTCCACCATCTTCGGATTGACTTGGTTTAGATCGCTCAGCCAACCAGCACATTTTACTTGATATGAGCTATATAAATATAGTTTCAAACATAGCTATTGCATTGGTAGATGGAATTAGACCAAATTTGTCACACTTACAAAGTTGGTAAACATTATTGTTCGTCCTTACATGCAAAGATGACCAAGGCTTGAGTAGTAGCCTTGACTTGAGCAATATTTAGTTAACTGACAGCCTCACTCTCTCCTCCTTGCCTATTAGATCCAATGGCAAGACTTAGTCAAGATGACTAGAAATAGACCAGGATGCAGTGCATGACCAGCAGTGTTTCTTGCATCTTTTTAACAGTATCATTTTTGTTATGGTCACCAATTACATGTGACAGCCTGGTTTCTTTCATTGACTGACATTAAAACTGCAATATCAACCATCATCAAAGTTGGTCATAGCTGCTGCTGACACTAAATGATTCAAGTTAAGTTTGGTTAGAGTCCATTCACCCTAATGGCCGTAAATTTTAAAATAATCGGTATCTACCATTAGGTTTTGCACTGCTGTACCCATCATGAAGGGTGATGTTTTATTGACATCTTTTTTTAGTGTTGTGTACACATTTTTAATAAGTCTGAATTTTTATTTTTGCACAATGGTGTACCGTCTAAAATATTTAAAAGTTTTATAACGTTAATTTAACTCTTTCTCTCCGGAATTATTTTCCACGTTCTGACGGAATTATCTATTTTGGGTTTTTGTTACTCACTACAATGTTGTCTCTAAACCTTCATAACTTTTTTGCTTTTAATCAGAAAAAGTTAATTTTGGTATGGAATTAAAGGGAAATGCATGCTCTTTGCAAGCAAACAAGACTTGGGTTTAAATTTTAATAAATAAATGTGATTGTGATTTAAGGAAAATAAAAATTTATTTTATAAAACTCACCAAATGTTCACAAAACGCTAATTCCAAGTCACACGAAGAGAAATATATAATCCAAAGTGTAACAAAAATGTTTTTTTTTTCCTGAACTATATCCATATGTGCATCACAAATAATAAAGATCAACTTTCAAAAAAGAAAAAAATTAAACCTCAAGAGCACATTATCCATTGTCACTGCCACACACAAATTTGCAAAAAAAAAATTAACTAATTCCACTGGAAACAATCTGTTGCTATTTATAAAATAATTTCAGTGTATTCTTGCATGTACTAACATTTATAATGGTAAATAGAAAATGTACCATACATTTGTTACATAATTCCATCCGGGTTTAGCTATAGGAAGCCTAAAAAACAATCCATATGGATGTGCCCTTGAGCTGGGGGCGGGGCTGGTTGTTCATCAGCTGATGAATTACCAGTTTCATTATTTTGTCACTAGCACTACTAATACTAGTACTAGGATTATAATCATACGATTCAACAGAATCGGCATCTGCGTCTGAAATCATAAAATAACTGTCAGAATCATTGTCAGAGTAATATTTTCCACCTTTATTAGATCGATCACCACATGGCTCAGGTCAAGATTTCATGTTTGTAAACAAAAATAAAATGGACAATCAAAACAAAAAATTCGTTCTTCGTTCAAACACACAAAACCTGATGTTTATCAAAGGGAAATCATTCTAGAATTGATTTAAAATAACTAAATACCAATAGCTAAGAAAGAACCGAAATTAACAGGTTTTTATGCAACGATCCCATCGTCGATACGCCAAAATCTTCATTTCATGATGATGGGAGCGTTGATCCGGAGGGAAAGCATTAAGTTAAATACCACCATAAATTTTTAATGTAATTAAATATCTAAAAACCATTATTCAAAAATATAGTTGGGATGGGAGGGTCAAACATTTTGCTTTGATCTATATAGTTCAAGGGTGTGGAAAAGGGTAATGTTTATTTTATGAGGATACCAATATCTCAAATACTGATGGGATTTAGATTTTCTTCAAAAGTTAATATGTTAATCATTTGCCAAAAAATGCAGTTCATTGAAAAAAATCAATAGTGTGTAAATTTTTATGAGGATACCAATTTCTTAAAATCTGATGGTTCAAATATGATATTGGGATTCTTCTTTGTAAAAAACAGTAAAACAATGTCATATTTATTTACCAGAAAATGCTCTTCAGGGACATTGAAAATGGGGGTACATTTTAAGAAGATAACAATATCTCAAAATCCGATAAAGTTACAGATGTAACAAAATATTGGAAGGGAAACAAAGTTAAAATAAATGAAACTTGACAATAGTACCAACAAAGACCCCTAATTATAAATAGATGGAGCACAACATATTTCCATTATTATCCCGATAACACAGAGCAATATCTTCTTATAGCTTTATAAATTTTAAACAGAGACATAGTTATTTAATTGTGCAAGAAGTTTTCAAGTACCATAAACATTTGTTCAAATGCATACAGTAATTTAAACAGTAATAATATTTTAGTTCTATAACCATTTTCTGCTCTTTGAATAATACACCTTTTTTTTTTAAACATCAGATCCTACAAAGGAAGCCAAACCACCAGAGAATGCCTCGAATGAAACCATACACAATAAGGTGAACTATTTTGGAAGTTATGTTAAATTATTGCATATGAATCCTATTTTTTACCTGACAGCTATGTGTATTTCTAAAATTGTTGCATATCAAGACAATGTTGTAATGCATGATGTAAAAAATATTTTTACAAATCTATTTTTTACAAATCATTTCAAACCAACTTAATATTTGTATCTTTGATGTGATTAAAGTATTAAATTATAAGCTTTTCAAAAAATTGTATTACTAATATATAATGTAAAATATGTTGTATATAGGCCACTGGACCAGTCCTTGTAGATGATAATTGGCCAGCATTGCATGAAGTCAAAGGATCTGAGGTATTTTTTTAAAAACTTTAAATAATCTTTTAATGTTATTCTGGCCTTTATGAAAACACCTTATACTATACAGGCATGTCATGTATAGCAACATCCATTAACTGATGCAAGTGTGTGTCATTTCTGTCATTCAAAAATGTTTGTACCATTATTTTGTGATTGTAGTGCAATGGGTAATGAGCTTAAAAAATTTGATTCCTGTTTTGGCATACACGTTACGAAATAGAGATTTTTATGATTGTATCAGACCTGTTTACTCTTACGATTTTGGCATACACTGTACCATTTTGAGGTGCATACATTATATATACTGTATGCTTATTTTTTTACTTTTAAGATAATGTATTGAACGATTTTGTGTTGATATTGTACGATTTTAAGTATTTGAGGGTAAACAGGTCTGTTGTATGACAAGACCTGTCAGAACCAGGATTTAAGAGACTGGGCAGAAAATATATATTCCGGTAGCTTATCCGATTTTTAAAAAAAAAAATTGTTTGTTAGTTTTAGCTCCTTTCTGCATCCAGCGGTGAATGGATCGTGAAAAATTATTGGTTTTGGGCCATCTATAATTATATTGCATTTGCCCTACAAGGGGAAGCAGGGTGGTGTTGATTTAGCAGATTTTAAGTGGGGGGGGGGTGTTCGGATGTGTCTTAAATTTTTAAGGCTATAATAAACACAGCCACATTTTCATAATGATAATGATGATGGTCTTATTAGTGTTTTCATAATGAATGTGCTAAATATGGTTTCGTTCTGCTGAACTGTATAAATTGCAAAAACGGTGTAAATTTTGTTTTTTAAAATTTATTTCATGATATAAAAAAGGATATGCATTCTCACATGTTAGCACAATAACATTAGATTTCAAAATATTTTATAAGATCTAGGATGTCCTTTGAAATATATTTGTACCATTTCAATCCCCCTGCCTGATTCCAACACTTCTCTTCCTTTCCCTCATTTACAGCTCATGGTGGTAATAAGGCTATGAATTATGATAATATGATCTGCACATTTACACAAATATTAATTGATATATCTATAGAAGAAACAGAAATAGTTTGAATGAAAACAAAAAACATCAGCAGATTGCAATATAAACGACAGTCTGTCATCTACTTTTGGAAGTGACTTTTTTTGTGTGTGACTTCAGCTTGACTTGAGGGGCGATGGGAGTAATTATTGTATACATTATAATGTATGTTTACTTATTGACTATTGTGATATGGATATTACCATTTTTGAGATGCTATTGTACTATTTTGGGGGGTGACCAGGTCTAGTAATGTGAGTAAATAACACTATCGTATAGTACCGCACTTATTGCGATCCACTTATAATCCAAACCCCTAACTTTCTGTTTGAAAAAAAAACTTAAGTGGTCTGTATAATAATATCTGTTAATCTTGTTTCATAACATTATTAATATTACCACACGAATTAATGAAATAAATATTTATCATACTGATACAACTATGCAAATAACCTGTCAAAATGGGCGCTACTTAGAGAATAATAATTTCTCTATGTCCAGATACGATGTGTGCTCCATTGTGGAATACAAGTTGGTCAAGAAGATTTGGTTGCATATACATTTTTATACAGTGTATATAAGTTAAATGAAACATTTCATACAAGTGTGTATGAGACTAACCCCTTGTTTAAAATAGCCTTTTACCATTAACTTCTTACATTAAATGCTGAAATATATGTTGTATAAAAACACTTGTATGTACTAATTTGTCACACAACTTGTTCTTCTGTATAAGCAGTTAGTGGAAACAGCAACAAAATTGAAAAAAAAATTCAAATTCAACTGCTTAATTCTAAGAAGTATGACATACCCTTCAAACTGTTCATAGGGTTTGGACAAAAAAAACAACAAGTTTTCTGCGTTCAAAGAAGCATTTGCAATCAGACTCAGTAATAATCTTGCCATATCCACATACAATTCTGTTCCAGCAAAACCAAGCCATGCCTCAAAAAGCTTCTAAATCTTCTAAGGTCAAGGCCAACTCTACAACAACTACAGCTGTTGCTTCACCAGCAACCAATGTGGCGACTAATTCTACTTCCTCGAGTGGAGGTGACTCTCAGTCAACTGCTAATGTAGATGTGCCCACTAAGTTTTCTGCTGATGGTGGTCAAGCTCAGGTAATTCTTGAGATCAGTTCTCTATTTTTATTTGTACTACTGGTTATAGCCTGCCAAACAATGACGGTGACATTGCGTGAACTACCCATCTCTGACAGTTACTTGACAAAAACATTCATTCGTAATCACACACCCACCCCAACCCTAACGCTCTTGTCTTTATTTTTTAAGAATCCCATTAGCCCAGTTAAAGTGAATTTTTTTTGGCACTCTATTGAACTCACCATACATTCTTTCATACCTAGAGAATAATATGAATTGACATAACACCCCATTGTTATAAATGTATTACAATTTTAGAACACATGTGCCAATAATGTTGTAACAAAGCTTTAAGATTCTTTTCAGGTTTATAAGTTAATACAGTTATTTTGCCTTGTAAAAATGCTAATAATGAAACCTATTTTGTACAGGCTCAACTTCAAAGTGATTCTGGGGGTGATGATTCCTCAAAAGAAAACAAAGAAAACTCAATGAATGGAGATGAATCCAACAATGCTGTGAAAACAAAGAAAGGTAAAGTCTGCCTTTTAACGCCTTGCTGACATTAGAGTGTGACTTTTTGTGTAGCCAACTTGCTTCTTAGTACAATTTCATCATGTATCGACTCCCGCAGTATGTGCATTTACTGAAGGGGCAGTTCAGGCTCTATTGTTGTCAAAAGGAAAAGCACTATTCTAGGGGCAGCGTTTCGCAAACTTTTAAGTTTGGAGGACCGGTGGACAAATTTCCCCCTGCACCATTGCCAGAGTTAATAATTATTGTTCTTTTTATTTGATCTTAAATTATTTTAAAATATTTTTTTATCCATATCAGCCAACTCTTAATAACTTTTGCTATATGTTTGCTATTAATGTTGTTTTTTATTTTTTGTTTTGTTTTTTATTTTTGTGTTTGTTTAGGTTTTTTTTAAAATAAAAAATTCAACAGCAGCTTTAGACATACTATAACTTTAATTTAAAATAATTGGGAATGCAGCAAAAAATATTGGAGGAACAACATTTAAGCTCGCAGTGACTATTTAATGAGAAATGTGGGCATGCTTTTTATTGACAAGAAAACTAAGTCATGGCTGGGTTGTAGACAGTGCTTTATGCAGATGACTAATATTCATTCTGTCCCTTTCCTTTGTTTTAATAATGTTCTGTGGTGAAAATTTAGTTTAACATAGGTAAGTTGAAGAAAATGGGAAGAAATTTCACAACAATTCCAGAAGGTTCAGGATATTCTGTTTTGACATCAATAAAAAAGATGCTAATAATGTCATCTTCAATCCTTCATCAGCAGCTAGATCCAACAACTTATCATGCATACTTGTGCCTTTTTAAGATTTGAAGTTTTGAGCCTACGTATTCAAATCAGCCTTTGAACTATAAAAAGAATGTCGGATCCATCTAGATCAAATCTGTGGAAAGTAAAATGGAAACGGTCAATTAATTTGGTCAAATGATCTGTTATGATGCATCTTGTTAGTGTGTACCCTGGGTGCTAGTGTGTCGTGAAAATAGGTGATAAAAATGTTTTGTAGCTGGAAATTATGGCACATTGTTCCCCTTAGTCATGTCGATTCAGTCGCCTTGTTCAATTTTTATGTGTGTTATATGGCATTCCATTTTTTCCAACAAACTTTACTGCAGTTTGCCAGTTGAGCATGATCTTTTTATGCCAAAAAATGCTTATTGAATTGGTTTTGCCTTGTTTTGTGTGGTCTTTTGATAGGTTTCATATTCCTTTAAAATTTCTGGCATCATGAGGTTGCCCAGGTTTCACAGGATTGTATACAATGCTGTGTAATTATATGCAAAAGGCAATCTCGATTTTTAAAAAAAAAACGTATATGCGGAAACAAGACCCTAACATGTACATTATCCTCCAGTTTCTTGACCAATGTTTTGCGTGACTGGCAACGTTAGGCTCATGAAGTGGTACTGGTTTGAGGACCACCTTTTTGGGGAACGCTGTTCTAGGGTATACATTCACACTTGATGACAAGCACTAAATTCTTTATTTACACTTGATAAGGGCAAGGTCACACTTGCTCTATAAGATCCTCGCTACACTGTCTTTACGACAACTGTCATCTAACCAACTGCCACTGACAAACTAGCACTTCCACAGTTCACAATATGACAATAACTAACTATAAAACTGTCAACATAACTTAACCATACTAACTCACAACCTATGTACAGGCAGTATTTAAAACCTCACTTGTTTATTGACCTTTCATAACCCGACCAATCTCAACTGGCCCACACAAAACTATCACAACTCATGATCAACTATTCCATACACAACCCGACCATGCTCACAAAGCCAGTTCATAAAAATTGTTATATTTTTTTAGGCACAAAACCAAAATGGCAGCGGATGGAAATTGATCATCTTAAATCTGATCGTCGCAATAGGAGAAGTCGGAGCCAAGGAAGACGGTTCTCTCCCAATCGCCGTGATGGTAAACGTGCTGGTGACCGTTTCCGTCCTGAAAGTCGCAGATCTGATGGTAAAAATTTTGAAAACAATCATTTATAGCTTTTATCTTTTTTAATCTTTTATAAAATGTTCTTTTGATTTTCCCTAGCGTTGTTTAGACTAGTATGGATACATTGCACTGAAGAGAAATGAAATTTGGAAGGAGTTTCAACCCATGTTTTATTTTTAATTTTAATGTTTACCTAGTGTAAAAATGTATTTCAGTTGGTCCAGATTCCCAGAACTGGAGAGAAAACATGTTGCCCCAAAACACCACTACAGCTACAACTACTACGAGTAGCACTGAACCTCCACGTAGTGGAAGCAGTGCAAGCGGGACTTTTGGGGGTGGACGAGGAGCTAGAGGCCGTGGTGGCAATCGTGGAAATATTCGGGGTCGTGGTGGCAGAGGGAGAGGTGGTGTCAGAGATACCATGTCTCCACCATTCCAAAGTGAGTTAAGATCAGTGTTCTGCTGCCTGACCATTTGAACTAGCCCTATGGAATGTTTTATCCTAACTTTTGTTTCTTATTATTTTTTTTAATTAACCAGTTTTGTTTAATATGTCCTTGTAATTTATACCATGTGCCTTGTATGTATATATTGGTTTCTTTTTTAAAAAAATACCGAATTGGATTCCACTTTGGTAAAAGACATACGAATTTCACAAGGTCACCCTGCTACATTCCTTTGTTCCATGAAGTAATATAGGTGTTACCCTGGAGTCTCAAATTCATTTGATATCAGCCATAATCTCTTTTTACAATGGTTGTTACAAAATTTGAAGTTAGGTAAAATTGGCTACAGAGTAGTAATTGGTATTGTATGTGCTTTATGCTTTCTCTCCTATTTAGCTACTCCTAACAACTGGAACCCTGATCAGGCCTTTCCCACAATCCCAACAGACCCTGAAACTATTCAAGGTTCTTTTTATTTACTTGTCTTTCATATATATTCCAATGTTCTTTTTTTTTATATTCTCATGCACTTGGTGAAAGGAGCTCTTTTTACTGATCTTTTCTTTTTTTAACCTTGATGATTAGGCCCAATATTCCTTAATGTTTTATGTATATATATACACACACACACACATATATATATATATATATATATATATATATATATATATATATATATATATATATATAATCTACTACTTGTTATAAAAATTTTGATAATTTGATCCTACTTCAAAATCATTTAGTACTTAAGGATAACAAAATCCTGGAATGTGTTAAATTTATGAGTAATGAATTTAATAAATGATAATGGTCTTAACCACCTTAATGTGTAACATTTTACTCCTTTTTTTCTCCCCATGGTTATTGGGCTTACTTAGTCTTGGGTCTCATTTGCTTTGTATTAAAATTCTTTGGAAAACTAGTGGTTTATTTTCTTTCTGGTTCTTATTTTGTTTTCTAGCATTGTTTCTATAGGCATTTGTTCTTTTCTTCTAAAGCAGCTCCCTGGAGTGCAGGCTTTAATCAGGTTCAAACAATACCTCGCGTACCTCCTATAAATCCAGCAGGTTAATATATATTTTTTTTTCTAAGTGTTAAATTTTGTGGTTTATCTTTAAAGAATGGATACATTTCTACCAAGTCCTGTTAAGGCTACTATAATACAATGCCACTACTACTAGTCTTGTTTAATACTTGTTAATTATCTGCAAGTTAATACTTAACTTCAATGCAAGAGACAGTGTCACTTGTATAAATAATCAGCACATGTTATGTGTGCATAATTTTACACCCAAATATTGAAAACATTTATTTGTTTTAAAAAAAGAGAACTTATTTTTTAACTAAAAAAGATTTAAAAAAGAAACAAAATAACTCTTTAACAGGACTTTGAGTAACAAGCACAGCTTTTTTTATAGTTTATATCAGCTTTCTGGAACTGAGTGTAGATATGCTTCTTTTTATCTTTTCAATTTAATAATTAACTCTTTCCTGTTGTATGCAAAGTTAACTTACAAAAGGTAGCATATTTTTAAAAAAATCTCATTTAGGGGTTTGTGTTACAATGGATATGTATTTGCTAAGGGTCAACTGATGTGCTGACCATGAAAATGAAACAGAACTGGGTCGAGGTTGAATTAAGACATTTTTTTTATTTGCATATTTTTTAAACAAAAGTTTTTGGTACATTTTTGAAAGTGCCATGAATTAATAAATAATAAAGTAAAGTTACTAGCGATTATTGTGAACAATATCACGACACTTCCTGCTAACAATTTATATTTCCTTTCATGTAGCAACAGTAATATTTAGTCCACCATTTACCTTTGTATGTTTCCATTTGTATTATGTAATTTTTTTGTTAAGTTCCACTAGTGGTTCCTCAACTTTTTGCTTCTCAGCACACTTGCAGAATTTAGGTTTTCCCCGGGCTGTTTATGTCAAATTCTAACTACACTTCAAAATAGTAAATACATTTTTTTCAGATTTGACACTTGTGTTTACATAAAATAAGGGTGGCCCCTTTCTGAATCTATACATGCAGTTTCCAGTTTTCCCCATTGAGTGGAACACATTTCTCGTTTTCTATGAAAAATTCCTGACTTCTAACACCTGGATCCACTGGAATAGTCTCAAAATACCCAGCCCTAGTACAAGGAATGTTTATGATTTAAATGTACACTCATGATTCCATAATACAATCTTGGTTTCAAATCCAACCAGCACTGTTTCATCCCATCACCTGTAGGATAAGACAAAATAGAATATATATGTTTCATGTACAAGGATCTAAAACTAGTTACAAATTATCATATTTGAATTCTAGGGTAACTTAAGAAAAAGACATCTAAAAAAAAATTTTAACATTTCATTATGAATCACTTCTAATTCACATTAATTAAATTTCCTCTAAACCGGGGTCAGTAACCTTCTTTGAGTGATGAGCCAATAATTTTTTTTTTTATCTGCTACAACATTTATTGGGAGTTTCAGGCAGGGGCTGATTGTTTAAATCTCATTTTAGATTAGTTTTGTCTATGATGCATCCATTCCTTCAAAGGGCCGACATTTGAAATTATCCTATCAGTTTATTCCTGTTCTAAACCGGGGTCAGTAACCTTCTTTGAGTGATGAGCCATTAATTTTTTTTTTTATCTGCTAAAACATTTATTGGGAGTTTCAGGCAGGGGCTGATTGTTTAAATCTCATTTTAGATTAGTTCTGTCTATGATGCATCCATTCCTTCAAAGGGCCGACATTTGAAATTATCCTATCAGTTTATTCCTGTTCTTTAACTACGCTGAATATAGTTACTAGAAAAAAATTTTTAAAATTCATCACAGCATTTTAAGCGTTCATTTCCAGACATTTCGTTTGCTAAGAGTGGACTGCATAATTTAAATTGTTCTACCAACTGACTTAAACTATGTATTGACATGCTGTCTCCATCCACATTCTTTGACTGCACTTTATATAGATATAGCCTATATTGTTTGTATGGTGATATGCTCTGTAAATAAAAATGCTTTTCAATTATCCAGTATCCGCGCGGTTATTGTTGTCAATGAACTTTAGGGTCATGGAGATGTTCCATTTTCTCGTTATGCATGAGAAGAGTTGTTTGCATGAGAAAATTTTAATTTTTTAAATTTTTACTTATTTAATGACAACAATTTACTTTCTCTTCGTTGAAATGAGGTAATGATTTATTGGCGTCTTTTTTTTCTCATGCACATGATGTACTTTTTAATGAAAGAATAAAGTTAATGTTGTTTGTTATAGTTAAAATACTGCTAATATGTTGGCTATCCTAATCTAAGGATCTGTGTATTTGCCTGCTTATGGTATGTACTGTTGAGCTTTAAGTGATCCCCTCATTAATCATTTGTGTTTCAAATAAGTTATAACATGTTTTATTTTTTTTTTAAATTTGTCAGTGATCTTATTTGCAATAAGTTATATATCATGTGTGTTTCCTAACAGATCAACTAATCATTTTTATTCCAAGTTGTGGACAAAAGTTCATCTTTACAAAATAAAATACAAGTTACCTCATTATATATAACATGTAGCTTCAGGCAAAGAATAAATAAGATTAAATGTCCTGCAATGCTTTAAGGCTGATTAACTGGCAAAGTGTCATCAATGTTGAGCTTTGTTACAACCAATCTATTTTTAATGTATAACAATTAACATTCAACAAGTACAGTGAAAAATATTCTGGAATTAATTAGTACACTTTGAGACAAAATTTAACATAGTATAATTCGAAAGAGAAAAAAAATTGGGATTGTATTTTTTTATTGGGGGGGGGGGGGGGGNNNNCATTAAATGCTTTTCCTTCTTTGAACAAAACAGTTATTAAGTGTAGTCTTCTTTTTCATTGCTTTTTGCATTGTTCTATTTTGCATGGTCAATAGAATAGTAGTTTAAATTGCAGATCTTGTTTTTGTTCTGTTATAATAATATAGATCACCATTGCTGAACGTCTTATTGAACCAGTATATAAAAGCTTTTCAAAATGTGAAATTAGCTTAATTGATGAATTATTGGTTTGTCGTGACCTATTCCGAAGTTGTTTTATCTCTTCTGGTTTATTTTGTTTAAACTTTTTTCTGGCTATATTAATTTCTAAGTAGTAAAAAATATGTAGTGAGAAAATATCAATTATTAAATGTAAATTTCAATGTCATTTTAAACTTATTAAAAGATGAACAGGTTTTAAAAAATAGTTGGAACAATCTGAAGTTTGATAATAAAAATGGGGCAGCTGGAATTCAGTTTTTTGGAAGCTTATATCCCCTGAGTTTTGGAGTTCATTATGGTAATTTTTAAAGCTGGACTTGTGAGAAGAAAGCGTTGTTCAGATCTAGAAGTAAATTCTGTAAATAGATTCTTAAATATCTAATTATTAAACTATAAGCCTCAACTACAAGAGAGATGTGCATAACATTGAAGCACTTTTACTCTTTAATGACAGATATGTTTCATGGTTTGCTGGGACAGATTTTAAGTGATGTCATTAATTTATCCACAAGTGAGCTTTTATTTTCAACGTTGGCCGTAGCTTGTTGGGCTTGTTAATTTTGAAGTTTTTCTGTTAATGATCTGATAGCTTAGCCTTTTCAAAATTGTCTAGAGGTATGTTATGAGGTAGAATGTATTAAAATGTACATAGATTTTTGTGTATTCATTAACAGGACATTAACTGTGTTTACCATATGGCTTTTTAAAAACTTGTCTACCTTTCTTGTAAATAGCTTGTCTTTCACCTGCTACAAGTGATTTTTGATTAATTATGAGAATCATCTTAATATTTGTGTAATGGCTTTTTAAAAAAGATTTCACAGTTGAAATAATTGAATTTATTCTTTATTTTTGGCATTCCATTTTTTTTTGGTTGGGTCACGATTAATCCATTAATTTTTAAATATTCTTTTTCGTTGAAATATTAATACTCTGCTTTGTTATTCTTTCTTTTAAAAAAAAACAAACTATAAAGTGCTTGGAAGAAAAGAGTTTCATTTCGCAGATGCCAAATTTCTCCATTAATATCTTTAGAGGCATAGTTATTGTTTTTAGACTATAAGATGATTAAGGGATATTTAATTAAAGAAAGTATTTTCTCTCAGAGGACATATGCTTTAACAATGACCTAAATTTCACTAAAGAATAATATATTTTTCTGACCACATTCAAATAATATTTATGAATTTTTTTATTATAAAGATTTTGAATTGAAACATAAATGTAGCATTATTTTATGGACATATTAACCTCCTTTTTTAAACATACAATATTTCTATTCCCCTAATAGTGATGCTTGGGATGGATCCCAATTTGTATCTTCAAGATGCCCTGCTCAATATTTTAGGACAAGCATCCTTGTTTTATGAGCAGCCACAGAATACATATCCCCCAGAGACACTGAAACATCAAGTGTGAGTTTACTTTTTTTACATCTACTTACAAATGACTATTTCAGTTGCTAAATGAATTTTTTAAAATATTCATATCAGAGTAAATTAAAAATAAAACATGTCTAACATTTGAACAGCAAAATGTTTTAGTGTACAGTTCCTGCGGTTTAAAAAGGATTTTTATAGTAAATTGGTATCAAGCACCTTGTAGCCAAAATAGTTTGTACTGACATCTACCAATCTACTTAATTCAATTGCAAATAATGTATATTACAATACATTTTTACAGCTTTTGAATTATCAGTTTCATATGCTTGATTTATCTTTATTTATAAGTAAAAATTTTGTAATCCTTTTTTGTTTGTTTTGCACCTTAAGTTTGGCAATAGCTTAAATATTTTTAATAATTTCCAGAGAGTATTATTTTAGTGAAGACAACCTAGTAAAGGATCTATTCCTGAGAAAGAAAATGGATGCTGAAGGTTGGGTAAAGTTGGAACTTGTCCTTAGTTTTAACAAAGTAAAAGAGCTCAAAGCTGACTACAAAAGTCTGATTCAGGTTTGTTAGTTATATTTGTTTTTTCCAATTAATATGTTAATGAAAGTAAAATAAAATGATAGTCCCAACTTTTTTAGACCCAAAATTGTTGTGAATGACTGAGACATAAAAATTAAATTCTTATTCAGGAGTTTTAGGCAATGGAAAGTATTGGATTTTTCAATACATCATTTCCTTTATTTTAAATAGATTTGATATTTTATCCATATTCTTTTATTGGCTACTATCTTTTATTTCATAAACTGAATGATTATTTAGGTTATCAAAACCTCTGACAAGCTGGAGCTTTCTGAGAATGAAGATTATGTAAGAACCACCATCTCTCCAGAGATGTGGCCCATAAAAGATGATCTTAAAGGACTTCCACCCCCACCAGCCGTCCAACGGGTAGCCGCCATGTCAACATTACATTCAGATGCCCCAGAGTTTGTGCCAGGCAAACCATTTGTGCTGAGGAGTCTAACAAGTGATGCACCTGAATTTATACCAGCTTCTCAGCGAGGTATGTTGTATACACAATCTGGGAGTTTTGTGTTCTTGTCCAGGTTTTGCTATAAATTAATTTGGAAATTTGTTAACATCACAGTATGTATTTATAAGTTTTGTCCTTTTATTAAGATTTGTCTAAACAAATACTTTTCATACTGACTGAAACAAAAATGTTTTTTCTTAGACCGAAATGATCCATGCTCTGGTGGAATGCGCTGGTCTCAAGCTGATGAAGATGAAGATAACTTTCTTTGTGATGCCACTAGCAATCTTACCACAATCCCTCCCATGCTTTCTTCCAGGTATATCAATCACATTAGGAATTTATAATTATCAATTAATCCATAAAGTTAAAATAATATTTTTTAAAATTAGTTCAAATTCTTTCAGAGCTGCCGTTCTTGGAATAGTGATAAAGTGACCATTACTTATATTGATATTTGACAAACATATTCATTTTATTTGAAGTTTTATAAATACTTAATTGATGCTTTTCAGTGCACCACAATTGTCAATAGATGAATGGCAGACAGTACAGCATAAAGTTAAGAAGAAAGAAAAGAAGACGCAGGATAAAGTAGAGAAACCAAAGGTTTATAAAATGTTTAAACTTTATATGTCAATTGATTGCTTTGTCAAACTGCTTTTGGGTTTTAGACCATTTAACAGTTTTTACAAAGCCTTCAAAGCTGTTTCATACTGCATGGTCAGATGCAAATAAGGATTTTTTTAATTAGATTAAATTACATTATTTCAGCCCTTTTCCCAAAACATTTCTAGTCCTTAAAATATCTATAAATAATATTAAAAGTAATTTGATAATTGTTAAGTAAACATCAGCCGGTTTTAAACCGATTATCGGATATCTGATTTACATTTGATCCATAAAGTAAGCTGCTAATAACTGACATGTTGTTGAATAATTTTTAAAATTAATTTGGTGAATCTTCTGTAAAAAAAAAAAAAAAAAGTTGAATTGATGTTTCACATTATCTCCTACAGGATGAAGAAAAGGCAAAAGTTGAAGATGATCGTGAAGAACTAGATTTTATGTTTGATGTCGATTATCGGATATCTGATTTACATTTGATCAATAAAGTAAGCTGCTAATAACTGACATGTTGTTGAATAATTTTTAAAATTAATTTGGTGAATCTTCTGTAAAAAAAAAAAAAAAGTTGAATTGATGTTTCACATTATCTCCTACAGGATGAAGAAAAGGCAAAAGTTGAAGATGATCGTGAAGAACTAGATTTTATGTTTGATGAGGAACTAGACAATCTTAATGTAGGAAGAGTCAACAATTTCACAGACTGGTAAGTTGAAACTATATTTAAAGTGTTTCCCCACCTTCTTACTTGCAAAATTTTCAAGTCGGCAACTGTAATAACCTGGATAAGAGTGCTTAATATGTTTATTCAAGCTTATATTTAATTAATTCAAAATGTGTGTATTGCAGGTCAGATGACTCGGCTGATGAAATAGATGACAATGACATTGATAAAATTTTGATTGTGATGCAGACTCCTCCAGCTTTGCGTAAGCATCCTGGTGGAGATAGGACTGGGGACTATACAAAACGGTCAAAAATTACAGCTGAATTGAGTAAGGTCATCAATGATGGCTTGTATTATTATGAGAAAGATTTATGGGACACAGAGTTTATGGTAAGAATAAATTTAATTTTTGTATTTGTTTTAATATTTATACATTTTATTTTTAAATATTTTTTTACATATATCTAAGAGTACCTGTTATTAGTATCATTGATTCCTGTTGTGTTATTTATGTAGCTATCTAGTATTTGTATTCTTCTGGAATTTTAGGTTATTCTGTTCATGACTTACATTTACAATAAGTCTATTTTAATTATAAAATCTTTTTCATTACCAGAATGAATTTGACTTCAAGACTGTAAATGTGATAAGCAAAGAGGAATTTGACAAAATTACTCCTAAACTATCTTTAGAAGTTGAAGAAGAACAGGAAATACCTCCTCCACCACCTCCACCCTCAAATGGTAAAAAGTAGTTACTCATAAATCATTTTCACATTTTTCAAAATGTATTTTTATATGTAGAAAAGTAAGGTCATTTTTACAAAAGTTTTGTTGTTTTAATTAGCAAGTCAGACAGAAAGCAGAAAAGTGCCAACGCCACCATCATCCCAGACTGGTCATGTTGATGTTGCCAGGTCTTTACCAGCATGGGTCCCAGATACACCAGGAAGAAGGGAGCAAGGCCCTCGAACCCCAAGACATGATAGCAAGGAGCCACGGTTTTATCCAGTAATTAAAGATCCAGGAGCACCCAGAGATCCACAGGCAATGATTAATATTCTTTTTATATAGAACTTTTTTCTAAACACATAAAATCTATGCTACAAAACATGCTAAGAAAGAACCTAAGCAAAACTATAAAAATCATGGTGCAATTAATTAAGAGTAAAACAGATTACTTGCAAGACTTAAATATTGTCCTCCAGCAGCCAATAATATCCAAAGCTTCATCCAAATTAAAGAAAGTGTGAAAGTGAGCTCAGATTTCAACATTTTTGAAAGGGTTTGATTTTATTTTGCCGTATGCTATTTATTATTACATATTTATACACTTTATAATTTGCTTTACCCATTCAAACCGGAAACGACCAAATCTGGCCACTCAACTTTGCCATATAAAAAAACAGAAATTTTATCATTCAAATGAGTCTCCAAGATAAAAAAACCAAGGGTAATTGCTTCCAAATATTTTATTTTAGTGTCAGAGCAAGGAGTATACATTATTTAAATAGCATTTATTTTTAAGATAAGATCATGAGTAGAGGTGTACTTCATTGTTAACATTTAGTAAGTTACTCAACAAAAGCATTGGGACATAATGTAATACTGCAACACATAAAGCAACCAATTATGGATGCGAATCAATTTATTTTATATAAATAAATTACACAAATTCTTTTAAATTCAGTTAAATACCTATATTTATGGTAAATATGGAGTTGGTCCCCTTTCGCAGAGGTTTTGATGCTGAGTGTCCAGAAATGAGTTATGAGTCTCTATAAGTTATGAGTTTAAAAAAAATAGTGAGAAGAAGAAAATATTTTTATATTTCCTCCTACAATTGGATAATGGTGTATAACAACTGTCAACTTTTTTTAAAGACACCAAGAAAGAAAAAGACTAGACACAGTAGCAATCCTCCCATTGAGTCTCATGTCGGTTGGGTTATGGACAGAAAAGAACACAAAGTTCGTTCTAGACATAACTCTTCTTCATTGTCAATGCGCTCAGCCAGGTAAGACATGTTTTGAATGATTTCTAATCACAAAATTTTATTAAATGTTGATAATTTTATATTTATTTTTCATGGGGAAACTTTAAAATCCACTACATTTTGACAAAAAATTTAATATTTTGTACTATTAGCTAAAAACAATTCACCATGAAACAGATTTATAATATATGTATTTGGTATACAGGACTTTAGGATTAGTTCCCAAATTGCATTTTCTGTGTTAAAACGTGTGACTTATTTTTATCACTTCTCTATTTTTTCTCTCAGTCCATCAGAAAGCCAGCTTGCCTCAAGCTATGGTTGTACCCCTGTTTCAATGCCTCACTTTGAACATCCTTCACACGAGCTTCTGAAAGAAAATGGCTTTGTTTGGCATGTTTATAATAAATTTCATTCCAAGTGCCTTAAAGGTAATTTTACTTCATCTTCTAAACCCATACAGTCCAAGCCTATTCAGCCTTTTCTACGCCCAGTGCTGAAGCAAAGGGACATAACTCCATTTTTAAATGAAGGTTCTTTATCTAATTAATTTACAGAAAATAAACTGATAAATCATTTATTTGTATTTAGGCATTTTAATTTTATTTTCTTGCTAAGCAAAAGTTGCATCTAAAAACAGTTTCAGGGACCCTCCCACTTCAATTTGTGAAAAATTCCCAGACCGCTCATGATCTTGCTGATCAGTTGAAGTGTAATTGATAAGTCCGTTGTCATCGATGTCTCTACTATTACTATTATCGTCTTCACTTGATCACTATCACTAGTAGCGTCATTTAAATCAATGTCTATATCAGATTCTTCACTATCGCTGCTAGATTCATGAAATAGTGAAGCTTCATTAGGCCTTAGTTCTTTCAAAATTTTATCCAAGGCTCGGAAAGCCATTTTACAGAGAAAAAATCACAACTTTTAAAAAAAATCGCTGAAAATGAGCCCTTAAACACGCAGCGTTCAAACTAGTATCAAAATAAATGCTGAAAACCAGGCTTTCTTCTGGTAGAACTATAAACAGTGATGTGCAATGGATTTCGGCTGTGCTAAGAACGAAAGTAAACAACCTCAAAACGGACGGGTTTGGCTACAATGGACTAGGCTTAAGGAAAAGATTGGCAAATTTCGGGCACATCGGACTGTAAAGGGTTAAAACAAAAACAAAGTCAGTGGAAAATTTAGTTTAGAGACAGAATAAAAAGTAAAGGTGGTGTTACAGAAATCATATCAAACAATGATATGTTTGCCCCTCTCACCTGCAACTTATGTATCGAACACTTGACAGTGATTTAAATTTATTTATCTGTATTGTTTAATTTATGAGAAACCATGCAAGAGTTTTGTTCTCCAGAGATCATACTTATTTTGTATGTTATCTTGATCTTTCATTATCATTCAGAACGCAAACGCCTGGGGATTGGACAGTCTCAGGAAATGAATTGCTTATATCGATTCTGGTCCTTCTTCCTCCGTCAACATTTCAACAGAAAGATGTATCATGAATTTCGCACCTTGGCTGTTGAAGATGGCTCTAAAGGTCATAGGTAAAAAAAAAAATTATTTGGTTAAAACATATGAACCCGCAAGGGAAATTGGAAATTAACTCACACATCAGATTTTGTTTGTATATTTATTAGACATAAATTATCAAATTTATGCCATTTCTATTTGAATTCCAGATATGGTCTTGAGTGTCTTTTCCGCTACTTCAGTTATGGATTGGAGAAAAGATTTAGACAAGAGGTTTTCAAAGATTTTATGGAGGAAACAATGAAAGATTATAAAAATGGTAAATCATTTTGATTTCAAGAAACTTCAAATTAAAGAATAACACAAAGTAAAATTAATGGCAGTAACTGTGCATCTTGAATATTTTTTATAGAATTATTTTTTTTGTTCAATGTACAATTAATGCTTCTTTTTTCATATTGTTTCCTTATTTTAGGTCAACTATATGGACTTGAAAAGTTTTGGGCTTTCCTAAAGTACTCAAGACGTAGTGTAGATGTTCATCCAGAACTTCAAGCCAAACTGTCTCAATACAAAAAGCTTTCTGATTTCAGAGTAGAGGTGACTTTGACTCTCTTTTTTTTTTTTTTTTTTGAACTAACCTTATAAATTTCGCAATTTAATAGTAATTTGTCTCTTTTTTAAGAAATTGTATTTTGTGATCTTTGAAATTTGTCTCTATTTTTTTTTTTTTTTTTTTTTTATATTTTTTTTTTTTTTTTTTTTTTTCTTTTTTTTTTTTTTTTTCAGAATAGAGGTGTCTTTGTCTTTTTTTTTTTTTTTTTTTTTGAACTAACCTGATAAATTTCGCAATTTAATAGTAATTTGTCTCTTTTTTAAGAAATTGTATCTTGTGATCTTTGAAATCTGTCTCGATTGTGGTGACTAAATGTGTCTTTTGGGTTCCTGCCAATTGCTTCCTAACTCAGCTCTCTTACTGTTATTTCACAGTCGCAATAAAATAAACCTAACACACACCCTCCCGCCAGACCTCCGCCATGCCATGAAGCATATTAGAACATTTTTATCTTGTTTCATTTTAACTTTGTACGTGTGCAAGTATAGTTCATCTTACAACTGTCTCGCGTTTTTTCAAAATCAACTAAGCAATTTATTTTCTTACGTTTTTTTGTCAATTTCTGAATGCCTTTGTCTTTAGTTTGTGATAACTATTTAGTTTTTAGGACTTTGCAGTTGATTCTCTTCGGTCAGGAATGCAGATTAAGTATAAGTTATCATCCATTGCTTAATGATATGGCATTATCAGCTTTTGGAATTTTTTTAATGTTTTATTTGCAAAGTTAAAAAAAATATATTTTTTAAATGCATATTTTTTTATTTGCTGGTTGTAATTTTAAATCCTTTTTTTCGATGGACAGGATGATGACCAAGCATCTGCCAACATAGACAGCAACCATCCATCTTTGAGATCTACCCAGACAACCCTTCCACCAGTGAGACCTACCCAGACAACACTCCCGTCAGTGAGACCTGCCCAGACCACCCTTTCACCAGCAGCAGCTATGGAATTCTCTATAAACAAAGGCAGCAACAATAGCACAACCAAGAGCTAGTCACAATATTTCAACAGTTTGCCTGAAGACCAGCATTCACCTATTAAAACTGCCGTGGCCTACACATTTTGTCCACACAGACTCCTGGCAAGAATATCCTTGTGATGCCTAGAGTAATGGTCAGTAGCTTAGGTAGGCTCAGTGCTGACTGTTTTATGTATTTATGGACCCAATGTTGATGATGAAAGTATTATGCAAACATGTTCATGTAAATGTATCAAGAAATCTTGACAGCCAAGATAGGCTGAATGGCAAAAATTATGGTTTGTTTAAAATTATTGAAATAATGTTTCAGAACAACTTAACAGTTCAAGGAGTGTGACCGACTTTCTTTCAACATTCACAGCCCATTTATATCTTTTATTTTATGACAACTTTTGCTCTAATATAATTTTTGTCAACCTTAACCTTGACTGTAGAAATGTTAAAAACATTTCAGTATCAGTCTTAAAAGTCAAAATTAATAGCAAAACTAAATTTTGATTGTGTGTCCTTTTTAGACTCCCTTTGGTTCAATTAAAAGATAACATGATATTACTTAACATTAAAGGCTGTGAATTATGACAGTAAAGAGGTTAACATGCTGTAATTAACAAGTTTGCTTTGAACACTGATTATTGCCTACTTGTTAGCACCAGATGCAAGTAATGTGAATGCTTGGTACTTTGGGTCTGCTTTGGTCAGTTATGTGTCCAAGAGAATCGACAAACAGTTAGCGAGCTAAAACAATCAACAGCCTCAATACTTTAGGAAATACTTAAAATCATATGTGATAAATGTGACATGGGCTTGTTGAAGAAGTGAACTGCACTTTCATGGCAATGTGATCTCCATTTTTAAAGACATTTTGTCCATATTAATGAGGCCAAAGTCTGTTCTAGTTCGCAACTGGCAGTCTTGATTGGATAATCCTTGTAATATTGTCACTTCTACAGCAAGTATTTTACCTATTTAAAAATGAAGGATTTTTGGTTTAAAATCAAATCACCAATGATTTTAGAAAATATCTGGACATCAGATTGATCAAATGATCATGTTTTAACTGTGTAACTGTGCCTTCACTCAGTAGACTACGTAATTTTGAAAAAGGAATTTATTTTGACCAAAAAAAAATTAAATAGAAATACCTAGGAGACATTAAAAAAAATGAAATGCTGTGCTCATTTTAAAGGGTTAATTTGCTGTTTATTTTTAACCCTGATCTACTGCACTATATATTAAGCATTTATTTGTGTGTTTACTGATATAGACAATTATAGCAATGTAATAGGTGAGACATTACCACATAAGTAGCAATGTTTATACAAGCGATGTGTGTAAATAATGTATTTTCTTCCATTCGGATATTGAATTCATTGGTTATAGGATTCTTTTTATTTTGAGTTTTCATTTTATGCTACTTTTGAATCCGTGTTTATTTCATTGTTAACAGTAGATCCAATGGATGGGAAGGATTTAAACCATTGTCTTCATGTTTCTGTAATAAAAAATATCTTATGTGAATTTTTTAGATAATTTTTTATCTAAATCAGTCGGAATATTTTCTCTTAACAACTTGCAGTTCTCATGCAGCTTTGAAAAACTATGTCTCTTCAAGATCACAGTTAGTTTTTTTTAAAGTGCTCTCTAATTAGTATTGATAAGAAGAAATTATTTTTCTCACATTTAATACCGGTAGCGCTAAAATTTTCTGTGAGATAATAAAATATCTACAAAAGACAGAAGTATATGTACATTTTATTTGGTCTGAGATTGTTAAGTAGCACTTGTTCATTAAACCAAAATCATGGCTATTTTACACATGGGTGATTTCACGTTTAATAGCTGGTTGTGGTAATTTTTGTTTCTTGTTATTACTGGTAAAGAATCAGAAAAATGGAATGTGTCAATGTAAAAGTAATTCTTACGTAATTCTGGCCTTTTAAGAAAGCAGAGTCACAAGAGTCTGGAGGCTAAAACTATGGTTAAAATTGTATCTAAATTTGGAATAAATGGATTTAACAAAATTAGCTGTTTCCTATATCATTTTGTAAATAAAATCACTAATTTTGATACTTTTGTCTCTTCCCTGTTCAGTGAAACAAAAAATACCTTTGACAGTTTCTTGTTCAATAAACGTTTAAATTCTGTTATTACACTTAGTGAAATTTTGAATATTTAGAAATATGCTATATGTTTGCGTAGGATAGGAAACTGTTGACAAAAAACAGCGTTTACAAATTGAGGTTTGGCTCAAATTGAAGTTAAATACATTTTTTTAAAAACTATTAAAAAAAATTCATGTCTGGCATTAAACTCAAAAACCATGTTGATAATCCAAACACTGTTAGAAATGTAAATATATTATTGTAAATATTATATATTATCATTAATTGATTAATTCATTTTAATTTTACTGTAGAGACTTTACATAAATCATGTTGTCTCCTAAGACCACAAGGATATGTCATTGTTGTGATTTCCCCCCTTTTCCTTTAAAGACTCATTGGATATATTTTATTTTTTTCATTTCAGACTCCCTGTTTGAATTTTTCATTACTTGTTTGCCAAACCATATTAGCCAATTTAAGATTGTTAAATTTTCATGTTCTAATTTGTGAGTTTCTGTGAACATTTTCCTTTTACTCAAAAATATCAGAATAAGCCAGATTTATTTAAACTGGGAATATTAAACCAGCTTTTGTATTTGTTTCCTTAAGCATAGAGCATTGATAAGACCCTAAATACTAGCATTATGTATAGACTTTGTACTCTAAAAGGTAATATTGCCTAAGTGGCAGGATGTTTTATTTTATACAGTGATGAAAAACAGTTTGAGAAAAGTTTGTATTCCCTAATATTGTGTTCTCCAAGTTCTTGAAGCACTTGCTTATCCTGAGCTGAACAAAGTATCATTTTCTAATAATTTAGTGTTGAGGCCACTTTTTAAATTATCTGGCTACTTAAACATGTGAGGCAAAAAAAAAAAAAGTGTTTGGATTTTGCATATAAGTAAAATTCAAAATATGATTATTTTGATTATGAATTTTCCAAAATCCACTCTCATCCCATTCTCTCTCCCCACCACTTTCTGTAATTTTTTTTCTAGAAATTAAAATGGTAGAGAGTAATTTTTAAAAATTAACTTTATTTTAAAGTTGTTGTTTTTTAACAAATAGGAAAAAATGCATAATGTAATTATATACCACTACATAATTGTTGCCTTTGGGTGTGGATTTATTTCTTATTAAGATGTGGACATGAAAAATGTTTTGAGTGACTATGTCTTTAGTATTTTAATGTTAGTAACATGTTAGTGTGTGGATTGTTGGCATCAGTGTTAATTTCTAACTAATGGTGTCTAGTCGTTTTCTTTTAAACATCTTTTTTTTAATAAAAAAAATTGTTTGGAAAGGTAATTGTCCTAATCTTTTTTTGTCAGTGGATAGCTCCAAAACATTAGTTGCATCAAACATTTTTTTTACCCTAAAAAAAAAAACAAAAAAAACTGAACAATTTAAAGTGTTCACTTTCTTTATTATAAATTCCACATAGTACATTGGTAATTTTGAATTGAATACTTGTAAGTTATTATGTTTAATAAGTTTAATCGGAATTCTGTTATGATGTCCAATTCTTTTTTTCCTACTTTTAAAAATTAAAATCCACCCAAAAAAAATGTACAGTTCAAACACATTTGTGTTCATCTTATTGTCTTCATAATAGCCTTGGTTCATGTTTGTTAACTGCACTAGCAGTTTGAAGTAGTGCTAATGCAATCCCTTACTGTCCCACTCCCCCCCCCCCCCCCCCCCCNCCCCCCCCCCATCTGTACATACAGATTTGAAATCGTGCATCTCTTCCACCACTTTCTTATTCCAGCTTTTTAAAACTGTACAACTTCATTATTGTATTTTAAATGCTGTTTAATGCTAATTGAATTTGATTTTTTTTCTCCTGATATGGCTAACTGGTTCATATTAACTTTTACTTCTCATACAGGGGAAGGGATCCACATCATATTTGAATAAAAAAAAAAAATTTGTGCAACATTACCGTTCTTTTTTATTTTTTTTCCCCTATTCATTTCATTTTTTATTTTTTTTTTTTTTTTTAATTTTATGGCATAGGTCTATGAAAGTTATTTATGGTTGATGTAATACAAAGCATATAAAGCCATGTGTAGAACCTCACCAGGAACATAAATATGAAGGCTCATAAATTTTCAATGAGTCGGATTTTTTGTTAGGAATTATTCTGGTGCTTCAAATTTCCTCAGTAAAATGGCATTATAATTTTTACCTCATAGATCTTGAAAAAGGTTAAAATAATGCAATATTTTAAAGTTCTCTTCTTGTTAAACCGCCATTTAACTTTGATGTTAGTATTCTAATCCTACACTGCCAGAAACAAAGAAAAACCCATTTAAAATCATACTTTTTTATTTATGTTTTTATGTTAGAATGCCTACATTTAAAAAAAAAAGAAGCTTACATTCATAGCCAGAAACTAATTTATTTATGCATTATTTTTACATATAACACCCAAAATGGATTAAGCAAGTACAATTTAATTGTGCTTGTTAAAACTTCCACTATGAAATAAAGCTACACATTTTTTTCAGAACTACAAATGTATTTATTATTATGCAGCCAGCTGACTGTTAACAATCCATCAATATTTTATTTAGCTCTGATCATGAATTGAACATACACAGAAATGCATGCAAAAAAACAGGTGATCAATAGACAAATGCATTTGTTCATTTCCAGGAAAAGGAAATGTAGTATTCAATATTATTTACAAATGACTTCATAAACAATGACTTCTACAAACACTTTTAAATGTAGTGCTATACTAGAAAAATTATTTTCTATGAAACCTTTTTTAAATATACAAGATTATCAGTCAGTTAGGCCTAACATGTAATCCTAAAATAAAATATATTATTAAAAAAAACATCAATTTTAAACATTTCGATTTTAAATATATCCATGATATCTAAGTTAAAAAGAAACTACTAACAGTACAGTAAATGCTACTTAACATGCTGTGTAATATGAAATTTTTGCCAGCAGTAAAAGAGCATTTGATTTGTCCTTTTTATTTTTAAACTTCTTAGAACTAAGGCTTCCATGTTTCTTCATAAGTTCACAATTGGAATTAATATTTTAAAAAAAAACAACTGATGACATTATTAAGAGCCCAAGGTAAACAATTATTTCACAAAATAATGAACTCTTAAGTTTTTTAAAGTGTTAAACAAGAAGTAAACATCTTAACACAATTTGATTTTATCACAAAGATAATTAACCATAATGTAAATAAAAAATCTTTTGATAAATAGGAGACAAATTTTGTTAACAAATGCAAATTTTCCAAATGAATGCAATGTATTTCATTTTCTATGAACACAATCTGAAAAGTTTCTCATGAGTCTTATATAATGATTTGTCTTTAAAATCAACTGAAAAAAATTGTGTATAGAAGTAGAACTCGGACATATTTATATATACATGTGTAAATTTGGGGATTTTAAAATGTATCCTTATTAATTATCAAATAGTGTGATCTACACAAGAACAAACACACAGTTGGTTGAAACCAATCCTCTACAGTCAAAATAACTTTATAAAAGCCTTCAATAGAAGAAATATATTACAACAAAACATTATCTGGTGACCTTTGAATAGCTTTTGCCTTTGTCAGTGCTGAATAAATTGCCAATCTTGGCAATAGTGTATACAATATAGCTCTGTGTCACTGATTTACCTTCCTCAAGAAAAGCAATACTGCCAAAATGGCTTTTTTATTTTTAAAAATCTATTTTGATATAAAGAGAGCATCATCAGTTATCATGCACAATGATGGGTTATGAATTTAACTTTACAAGCATAACCAAATTTACGGTACTCCATTAAAAACTCCTATTTTATTTAAGTAGGTGGAATTTAACCATTTCTCAGCTACACCAACTTCATTAAAATGAAAGTGGGGGTAAAAAAATGGAAGAAACAAAAGTTTGTGTTAATTTAAATTAATAGTCACTTGTATTGTAGTCCACTTGACAATTAATTAATTGATATATATATTTATATATATATATATATATATGAAACAGACCAATCTGTGCATCTTTTTGTTCGATTTTTTTTCTGTAAGTACATGTACAGCTTATTTATTATTAAATTTTTTTTAAGTACTGCATAAATAGAAAGATCACATCAAGAAAACTGAAAAATGACAAGATAAGATCCCACATCTAGCAGTTTTAGCTTCACTGATAGCACACTTATCAAATAGTTACCACCAATATCCAGTGCATCCCGCTAGCATTCAAATTTTAGTTATGAAAACATAGTTATTGCTTGAATTGAGTTGAAATAACACAAGTATTTGACATTATAAGATAATAAAGTAAACTCTTAAATTTAAATATTGCTTTACATTTTTATATTTCGGTGGATTCAAATGAATAAAACTTCACAGTAATGTATAACCGTAACAATCGTGTTGTTTTTTTAAAGCTTCCAATACATTTTTAACTTTAAAAACATGAAATGCTGAGGTGGAAAAAGAACATGTTACATTTATAAAAGAGGTTGCATAATAAGAAGTGAAAAATACTTTTTGCTTGTTTTGCAGATTTTAGGGCATTTATAAAAATAAAAATCATATAATGTGATGCAATGAGGTCATGACATGGAAGAGATGGGGTTCATGGGAGATCCCATTTGAGTAAGGACTTTGTCCAACCATTGCAATGGCCCATTGAGATGAAGCTCAATCCAGCAGGGTGTTGAAGTCACATCTTGCCTGTGATATTCTGCACCCCAGCCCTTGACAAAACTCATTCGGATGATGCACATTTTATTTAGTTCATACACAGCCTCAAAGCCATGATTAACTGACTGGGACAACAGGGCTGCAAATTCCTGAAAAATTAATAAGAAAATTACAGTAAAATTTCACATTACTATGAAACTATGTCTTAGCCCAAAAATTGCACACTAAAGGAAAAAAAAGCCACTTGGAAAAATACCCAAACAGAAAACTATATAAAAAATGTGTACCGGTACACTGCAAAATATTAGATTCTTAAAACAAAATAAAAACAATCCCTTCCTGTGGTTCTGTACAAAACACACTTCAATTGTTTATGGAGTCAATCAGATTTCAGGAAAATGAAAAGCCAACTCCCCACAGTCTACCTCCAACTGCTCCTCCCAACCCCCAATACAACCAAGGGATGAGAGAGACTGCGATCCATGATACTCATGGGATAGTATTAGACTATTCGCTGTTGAATCATTAATCATACATTCCTAGATTTTATTTTCAGGTTTGCATTTGCCCCGCCGGGGATACAGGCAACAACTATAAGGTTCCAAGCATCCTGATCCAAGTTTACTCAGCTTTTCCCAGTTATGCTTCCAGGTCCACATTCATTAAGAGGTGGTTGTTTTTTTTGACAATCCTGTAGCAAATGTTTTTTAAGTGGAAGGTGGTTACCAGCCTTTCATCCAACCCTCCTCCTTTCTCATCTGAACTCAGCACCAGCAAAGGCGGAGTTAGACATTAGTATAAGCTTTTATATAAAAGATCTAAACTTTAATCTATTCAGTAATTACTTATGAAGTTTTTAATTATGACTTTGTATGTGTTGTGTATGTCATATAAAGGTAATATTTATTTTACTTTACAAATTGAGGATGGTGGTCAAAACTAATTTTTGGTCATCATATTACTTCATGTCACAATCACATTCATTTAGAAAAAGTCATTCAATATTGTCAAAAAACGATCCATGCACCTTCCAGCTAAAACTTGGTGATATCACACAGTCAAACAGCATGAAATTATCATATTTATATTTATTTTCAGCTTTTGATACCAGTACCGTAATACAAATGATTAAAAAAATATTTTTATACCTGGTTGTTGAATATCTTGAGACTACAGCTGGGTGGTATTTTGCACACAGTTGTTGGATGAAAACCATGAGAGTAATTGCAATTACGGCTCTGAACAAAAATGCTACTGTCACTTAGACATTCTGCATACACTTCTCCTCCGACATAATACAGATGAACACCTGGAAAAAATATAAAAAATTAAATATGAAAATATTTTAATAAACTTTCTTTTAACCCAACAGCAATATTATAATACCAGTACAAACAAAAATAAACAGTACAACTGGACACCTACCCCTTCCTATATGTCGACGAGTGTTTTCAATCGTAGAGTTACGGTTTACATTAGATAGAAGACCCAAACAAAAGCGGTCGGTGCGTGAAGGATCAGTAAAGCCGTCCACAACAATGCTATTAGAAGAAGCCTGAAATTGCTCCCCTACTCTGTTGTTAAGCTCATAATAAACAATGTTACACCAGTAGTGCGGCTCCTGATAGTTCACTGCTTGCTTGTCTGAAATATAAAAAAAACACATCAAAGGTAATATTTTACAGCAGTATGTATGTATGCAATATACAGGATAATAAATGAAGGATTGAGTTCAAGCTGTGTGAAGGAAATAGTGGAACAAGCTATGTGAAAGCTTGAAATATAAAGATAGGACAATAAAAGGAGAACGTTTCAGCTAAGAGACTTATTCAGTAGACAAGACAAAAGAAGAAACAACAAGAAATAGAAAGAAAACAGTTTCGCCATGCAAGCTATGTTATTGCCGGAAGTTGGGCTTTCCAAAAACATATGTGTGTGTATGTGCTATCTTAAGATTCCAGGAAGTAAAAGAATTTATGTATCATTACTGTAAAATATACGATTTTTAACAGAAAAGAATAATTTGGAAATATGTAAAATGTAAATGTAAGAAATAAGATTGAGGTCACTAGTAGGAGAGAATTTGATTGATTCCGCATGGTCATATTGTGCCAAAAGTATGAATTTTTATTTTCTTCTTAACTCTCACTGGTGTGTTGGTGCAGGAAATCAGTGCCGTAACACACACAAACTATTTAAAACATTACAGAAGGTACTAAAGAATCTCTTTGACAACTGTCTAATTTTTGCCCTTTCTGAAGACTCAAATAATTTAACATCAAGAAGACACCAGAATACATTAACCCCTCATCAATAGTCATTATATGTACTGGTTTAGTCAGTATTTTCTTCTCCTTTGTAAAGGTATTATAAACCAGTTCCAAGCATTTGAATCGGCTCAAAAACATGTTTCTACCAAGAGCACTGCTAACCATAACAATCCTTGTTCAAAATATTATTTGTAATATATTTTTGCAAAACTATAAATTTATAATGATCAGGGTCTAATGTCCTGGGCTACTCTTGTTAACCCAGCACTACCCTGTGAGTCTCACACCCTGGAAACTGCACTTGTGTTTCCAAAATATTACCAATCTCTGTTAAGTGATACTTTCTGAAGGGTATTATATGCTTTAAAAATCATTGTTGGTTAAAATTCTGTAACCTTTATCTTCTGTAAATAAAAACATTTCTGTTCTTCTGGTTGTTTTTTTTTTTGGTTATTGTATGGGGTTAACTCGAATCTATCCAGTCATATTATACAAGGACAGTAATCCTTCCTCCTAACAGCAATTATAGGATGAAATAGGGTCCCATTTGACTGGATGTGAGTTCAATCATTTTCCCAGGGCATTGGCTAAGCTGCACCAACACAGCCTGGAGCAGGTTTCCAAACCTGGGATGCTCTAAGAAGAAAACTGATGTCCCCCCCGACAACATTAAAACAACCAAATTTCCTAAATAGATTATTATATGAATTATAATATAATAATATGAATGTACCGGTAGTAAGTTTTCATATTTTTAATACTCAGCTTACCAGTAATTCTGGGCCCAAGTTTAGAAAGTGAGAAAGCTGGGCCTGAAACTGGAGGCCCACTGTGTGCAGGATTAGGCTGATGGTTAGTATCCATAGGTTGGGGTCCATTCTGGTTATTTTGGTTGTCATCGTGAGCTTGGTAAGCAGGTGGTGGGGTATCAGCTATTGTAAATTAGAAATTAAAATATAATGTGTTATGAAATGTGTTGTTTTTCTGTAAGTGCCACATTATTGTAAAAAAAAGCAATTAACTTCTTTCAATTAGCAACAAGGATTGCAGATTAATTGGAGGATAATTAGTATCAGCTTAATGGTCACTTTGCAACTTAATAGCCATTTGTCACATTTTACCCAGTGATCTGCTAATCAGGCTGATGAAAATATTTTCCCAAATGTTAGTGTTCTGGTAGTGTTAAATCTCTATGGTTTTAATAAAATCTTACACAAACTGTGCAAGACTCTAAATGTAGTTTCATATATTTTTTCCTCCACACCCCGACCGCCCATTCTCTTCCTGAGATGTTTTCCAAGTTGATATGTCTGGCAGATACCACATAACATTACTTTTTACCATCCTGAGATGACATCAATAGATTCATGTGTAATAACCAATTCCTTTGATGTTATTTTAAGTTAATTCCTAGAAGTTACTTTGGTATGTACCAAACCAACACACTAGCCGACAAATCTAACTGGTTATCCTTTTTACCACATACTCAAATTGTCAATGTATTAGTGCATTTTAATAGCTGGTGCATCATGTGATGCATTTTCAATGCACTTAATGATCCTTTTTTTTTCATTAAAGGGAAGAGGGAGGGGGAAGACATGCCAAGAGTTAAGTTATAACATTTGTGTGTATTATATGGAGTGTCCCATGTTTCTAGATATTATAAATAATTTATCAGTGGCAGATTACCTCATGACCATTTTAGGCATGATTTTTTTTTAAAATGCGCAAATTTTTCTCAAATGATCTTTTCCCCTGATAATATTAAAAAGCAATAATCATGAGCATGTTTACGACTGCCGTTTACTTGGGCGCTGCTTCACCTATCAACTTTTGTGCTGATACCTGGATGATCTCAGTCTTTGATGTAAGCATTAAACTCATCCATGGTACAAAGCTAGCCATGTCATTGGCTGAGTCAACATAATGTCGCACTATTTATGGTGCAAAGTTTTAAAGTTTTGGAATTAGGGAGGCCCTAACTTCTGTTTCTTCAGCCGGTTGTGGTAAAATTAATGATATATTCTTACTCCTTATAATTCAAAAAGTAAAGCCATAGTTGTGATAAATCATGAAATTGTATAAATACCTACAATTAATTAAAATGTGCACAGTCAAAGCATAAATCACAAATTTAATTTTCTATTTTCACATGTGTGTATTCATGTCTGTAAGGTAAGCGCTCAATAAATGCGCAAAATAGAATTCCCAAAATTTAGCACTTACCGGACTTAAATGCAAGTTTTGTAAAGTAACTTTAGTAGATGGGAAGCTCAAACATTGCCCCCACCAATGTTTGGCAGGTTATTTCTAGTTATATAATAAATGATCGGCAGATAATTATTCAACATCCGCCAAAACAGTAAGGCCATTAATAGGACATCTGCCAATTATCTTATCAAAGCAACCCTAACAGTTCAACCATTTGTTATAATCTGTATGTTGACCTAGTTTTTATTCACCACTAGCTGTGACATTTAACCTTACCCCTCTTTTTGTTTTGATACTAACGTCACCGATTAAATGTGCAGCGCTTTACCAAGGGTACTCCTCCATTGCTTGGGAAAGGTTGTTTGTGTTCTTATAAGAATTATCTAAAGAATGATACCGGGTGACGCAATTTCTAGAATTTCTTTTCAGGGGGTGGGGTGGGGGGGATGTCTTGGAAATCTAGTAAATCTCTTCCGGCTGTGTAAGCTGTCAGCTTATTTACATGGAAGGGAATTAGAACACCACCCCCACACCCTTCCTAGACATGAAACTTATGAGACGTAATATACTTATAAGAGCCTTACATGATTTTAATCTTTGTGTGTTTGTAAATTAATATTTTTATTTTTGAGGAGTATACTTTTTCACTCTTTTATTTCTGTAAATTTGATTTTGCATTTTTATATAAATTTAATAGTATAATTTAATTGAATATTGTTAATATAACTAGCTTAGTTATCATTTTTCTTTGGTTTGCAGACCTTTGATACATATTGTTCATCTAACGAGTCAAATCTTAAAACACATTAAATTTGCATAACCATTTAACGGCATAGAACACATTTAAAAAAAGTAACCGTAAAATTAAAACCCATTGAAGCGATAAAAAGAAAATGAGTCTATTGTGCTTTTTACCAGGAAGACCAAATGGACTGCCAGGTCCTGAACTTGGCGTTTGTGGCGAGTGCTGCTGCTGGAAGGGGTAAGTAATATTGTGAGGCATAGATGGCTCCGGAATTTGCTGGAATGGGGGCAATGCTCCGTGTGTGGGATACTCACTGTAACGTGGAACTAAGACAGGGGGGAGCACTGTTAAGAAAAAAGAAATTTTTACAATTCAATCTGAAATCACTTTAAAAAAACTCATAGGATCTCCTGCACCATAATTTTCAATAATTAATATGATATGATTTTGTGAAAAGAGCTCAGTTACTTATATACATATTGTTTTTAAATTGATGGGGGTCATATCCAGCACCCAATTAAAGTGAAAATAAAATCAGGATCTACTTTTCCTTTCGTTTCGAATGAAATATTTAAAAATGAATAAACTTTGTAATGACAGTAATCTAAGTAGTAAATAATTACACTAAAGTGAGAAGATACATTTCAAAATGATGAATTAAACTAAAGTGATTTTATCTGTGGACTGAGACAGAGTTAATACAACTTAATTATTCATATTCCTAGTTAATAAATTTTAAAGGAAAACTTTTAAAAACTCACCAGGACTTTCAACTCTCCGATAGTGGTATGGATTTATGCATACCTCTTTCTGTTTTGCACTAAAAGGATATTCACATGTGTCTAGGGGTTTTAACTCATGATGTGACTGGAGATCAGGCCATCTCCAAACCCGACAGTAGATAACATGTGGTAATCCTTTTCGATGGGAAACCTGTAACCTTCCATCGAGAGACCTCTGTATTGTAACACATTTTGTGTGCGGATCCTTACACGAGAGAGCCTTTTCCAAATCTTCAAGAGCCCCTTTAAGAAAATTTGTTTTAAAAATTAATATTATTACAAACTTTTATAAGATGAATAACATAAAAACTATTTAATTTTTCAGACAATAATAGTTAATTATTTTTATGTATTACTAATCTGAAAAACCTTATGAAAGTGGAGTAAATTTTGACATAATTCTGTAATATTCACATTCTAATTTACACATTAAAATCAGCTTAAATGAATAAAAAAAATCATATGAAGAATGAAAGACTACATTATCGTCTGTATATTGATTTACATGATTGAGGCATGAAATGTTTAACTGACCTTTCTTTTTCTTAAGCTTTTTAACCAAGGAATCAACAGCCTTTTCTGCCCATTTTTCTTCTTCATCGCCTTGTTTCCATCCTAAAAGTCTTTTGACGGCTGGACTTGTGAATGTAAATATACTAGAAAGAGGAGAGGTCATCGTGCCAACTGCTAGCAAAATGTATTTGTAGCAATCTGTGGAAGATAAATTGTTTTCTCCTTTATTACTTTATAAACATTCTCAAGAGAAATATTGGTTAAACCTTGGATCCATGATAAAAATATCATGGATTATCATGTACTTCTAGCAGCTGATAAATGACTATATCTACATGTTAAGTCTTATTTTGTGATTGGTTTCAAGCATTAACCCTTTCGCTACCGCTGGGTTTTGGGCATTGATTTTTGCTGACTCGGCAATAAAAAACTTAAAAGATGAAATTTTCTGTACATTTCATTCTCTATCCGAATTTGCTTTTTAACTTTTCTATAGATTAACGAATAAGGAAATATATAGTATTGAAATATGATGTTGACGTGACGTCCTTGGTATTTCAGAAAAGTTCTTTGACTTTTTGTTATGACGACAATGTGACGTCATTGGTAATTGAAAGTGGGTGATCATGACGTCAACGTCATCGGTAGCGAAGTGGTTAACTACATGTGATTAATAACAGATACAATAATGTGTACTAATTCATTTTTAGATATTTTAAAATTGTGAGCAAAATATTTTAATTTTATGTTTTATTTACTATAAATTTTATTTTAGCTAATATTTAAAACCACAAGAGATTAGCAGCTTCCTAATTATGCTTTTCAATTTAATTATCTAATCTAAGGGGAAAAGAAACTATTTTTCATTGATTCTTTATTTTTTGGAAGAAACATGAAGTAAAAATAGCTCTAATAAAGTAGGGCCAGTCTAGGATGGAAATATGAAAAGGGGGTGAGGGTTATGGTATGATGGGAGTTGGACATACGGTTTTTACAAGTTTTCCAAGATGTACGGGCATACAGGCTTTTGTACAGTTTTTCACTGGAGTTAGAAAATAAATATGTCTGCACAAGTCACGTGTTTAAACTGGTGGTGCAATAAATTTAACGTTGGACAACAAGATGCTTAAATCATTTATTATATATGTCTGTTCAAAATGACAAAGCTGGGGATCTGTAAGCCATCTAAATTTAGAAACAGTGCGGTTTCATTGATATCATACATTAATACTAAGACAGCATAGTGTGGTAATTACTTTGAGTAGTAAACCATAATTACAAATCTGGGTGCGTAATTTTTAAATAGAACTGCAATATTATAATGTGTAAATTTAAAATAACTATCAAACAATAAATAGCATTAGTCATTATTCCTATTTATTACAAAAGCGTGGTTTAATACTTCCGGTACTATGAAAATAAGGTTATAATATAAGTTGAAGGTAAACTCAACAACTTGCTTAAGACAGGTGAACTTTATTTTATTTCATTAATTTAAATACAGAAATCTGTATTACTATAGCTACCATAATTAACCAAAGAATTATGGCCAATTACATATAGATTGCTATCGAATTAATAAAATTGCTATGGATTAGCTAACAAAATAAATCAAAATTTGACCCCCCAAAAAAGAATCAGATTTATTGCAAGCTATTTTCAAATGATGCGATATATCCATTTACCAATGATGTAAACATGCTTAAATGTGCGTGAAGCAAAGCGGACACTATTCATTTTTTATTAATGCGGTAAAAAGCATTGATAAAAATGATGAAAAAGATATAAAGATACAAAGTATACAGTACAGTTTGTCATGCTGTTGTACAGTTTTTTCTAAACCCCACTGGTTGGAATGTATGATAGCTGGACAGCGTAGGGATGACAGTGGAGAAAAGGAGTGTTTGAGTGGGTGTTGAGAAGTAAATGTACAAAATATATCTGGATGGGGCATAATAAATAATGCACCACTTTTCAGCAGGTTACTGGACTATATAAACTTGTAGGCATAAGAGAAAGTGAGTGTAAATTATATTTAAGACTAAACAATGGCCTAGCCTATAATATAAGTACAGGGTTACGCTACTAATCCTACTATGACACTATACTCCTCAGCCACTCCATCATATTTCATCATCATGTTAGTAGCAGCAATTAGGCCCTGCTCTTAAATTAAAGCTAAGGGCCATCCATTAATGATGTCATTCATATAGGTCGGAGGGTTGATCATGAATTTTTGATGTTATGAAGGTGTCTAAATTTTGTTAAAATTTTGCAATGATGGGGAGGAGGTAAAAAAATTGACAAATCAAGTGTGATATCATTTTATAGATGGTCCCTAATTAAATCAAAAGTAGGATTTACCTAGGCCTAAAAAAACCAGTTACATGATTAAGTCTTGTACTTCACTCTAAATTATTACCATAAATAATATTATATTCGAGTTTTAAAAAGAAAAAATACAGTAAAAGCTACTAAAAAAAACATATCATAGGGATATGATATCAATATATTAGTAATACATCCCTAATTTGTGCAGCTATGTTTACTTGAATTTTGTGTAAATTACTAAAATGTAGTAAAACTGAGTAGGCCTTACACTTTCACTTTCACAGTGCTATCTAAGATAGCACTTTTAACTAAACTAAACATCATATCATAAACATAATTGTTTAGCCAATTTTAAAACTGTTGGACTTGGACTGATGCCAGTATATGGATGCAGCAACGAGCAATACCAGAACCAGAAAAAGTCTTTTAAGTCACCTAAAAGTTGTTATTCAAGTGTAAACTGTAGTTTAATATTCTAGTAGTAATGGCAATTTTAGTAATTTTAAATAATACTAGGTCTAGGCTGCATTAGTACTTAAGTAAGTTTTAAGCCTTAACCTTTAGTTTTAAATTTTAGGCTTAAGCCTACATTTTTATAATTTACATTTTATTTCCAAAGTCAAAAGTTCTTTTAAAAAAATTTAAAAATCAGGCAGGCTAGTTAGTAACTAAGCAATTAACACCTGATGACCTGATGGATATTCAGTAGTCTTAAGCAAAACATTGATAGAGCATATTACCATTTGATTGATTTTTGCCATTTTTTTTAGTAGACACAAAACTTGACAGTTGACAGGCTTAAAAAGTTTAGTATTCAGAGAAAGCCTGAAACTGTTCAACAAGTGGAAAGTTTTGAAATGAATCCCAATTAATAATGAAGCATATTTTGTGTTCTTTCATCTCTAATGTAAGAATTGTGAGAACCAAAAATTAAATATTTAATTAAATGTTATGACATCGGATCAAGGAAAAGAGAGAACGGGCGTAAGCAAGGCAATCCGAGTGCAGGTGCAAGACCAAATGTACCAACCCAAACGCGTTAACTACACTATAGACTATAGTGTAAGTTAGTAGCAGGGACTGTGTAATCTTACCTCCCTATTCAACAGTTGAATTCCATTGAACGATAGTACCATACATTAATTTCTGATAAAGTGTTTACAGTTTTTAATACTGGATATCGAACTGTTTACTCCTAATCTGGCACTGAAATTTAAATTGTTACATAGTCCTCGTTTCGTATCCAACAGTAAGCTCCTGGCCAGAGAAGAGGTTAGGCTGCGAGTGAGGGAGGAGTGTGTCTCACTCCGTAGACGTGGAGGTAGTATTACGAACCCTCTGAGATTAACACAAAAAACACACAAGGAAGCCTTCTCGGGTTAGAAAAATATGTACTTCTTCTTTTCTGACTTTTTACACATTAAACTATAATTGCCTAATTATTCACATTTAAGCGAAATAAAGTCATTATTAAGCTGTTATTATTGGCGACAGAAAGACGGGAAGTAGAACTAGCAGGGAGGAAAATTTTACACATTGAATTACGACGCCAAATGAAAACAAACGAAATCAACTTATCTAAATAGGGATTAAAGTAATCTTTTTTGAAAATAGAAATGATTTCATTTATTGTTTAAAATTTTATTTATAAATATGATTCAAAATATAAAATTTAAAAAGACTTTCAAGATTTAATAAAAATTGACCTAAATTTCTACGTGTAAGACTATCACTCTCGTATTGGGTAAAGCGGTTATCTGTAGCGCCCCTTGAGAGTGACGTCATCAATGTAGGCGACAATCAGACGGGAACAAAATGGGGTTGGGCAGAGGCCACTGGCACATCTTGATTTACCGGTCCAACATTTCAACGGGGGGAGCATTAAAACTTCGGCGGCTGTCTCTAAACTTATATAATATTGCACAAGTCCATAATAAAATTAGTGGGCTTAAAATCACCTTGTAAAAGTAATATTTTTTAAAGATGGGGGGGAGAGGGGCCAATGCACTGGGAAAGTTTAGACCCCCACTCGAACTAACAGCTGAAACGAAACAACCGGTTACGCCGTGGTGGTAATAGGCTCTTGGAAGGTGGGAGGAAAAAATGGTCTCTCTTTTTATTATGGAAGAAAATTAAAATCAAACAATTTTAAGAAAGTATTTTTTTTTTTAATTTCATAACGTTGTTAAAAAAAACAAGAAAATAAGATTGAATCGCAGTGTTGAAGTTTCGATTATAGAAAATTATCAATTCTTTCAATTGTATGCAGGGATTTCAATATTAAACAAAATATAGCATTAGAGGGAACACAATTATAAATAAATAAGAATGTTAATGCGACAGTTTTGCAAAAATAAAGCTAATTAATTATTCCAAAAGTGAATTTAATGAGATGATAGGCCCATTTGTGCGCCCCCCCCCCCTTCACCAATGTGGGGTGGGGCACTTAAAAATTAATTATACCGCCAGTATGTCTTTTACATAGATAAATATCAACGATTAAAATGGGAAACAATCAATGAATTTATTTTGAAAGGTAACATATTATCTACCGGTATTTCCAGCATTGCAGCCGTGTTTCTGCTTTATTTTGACAATTTTAAATCAGATTCAATAAATTCAATAAATGATAATTTTTTTTTAAAAAAAGCTTTTTTTTGTGTTGAAAATACCAATTTTATTATACATTTAATTCAATATCTAAACCACGTTAATCAGCTTATGAAATTTATTTCAGATAATTTTCTGTCCATTTTCGTTATGTCCAAGCCCTTGACTTGTCTCGCATTTGCAATAATTGGCACTGACAAAATGTGACCACCATGATTTTACACCCGGTGTAGCAGACCAAATGAATCCGTGTCCAAATTAAGCCCGGTATAGTTTGGTCCCGGCCAGAGCATACATAACCCGGTGGTTAAACTGGCATAGGCCAACGCATACCCGGGGGTTAAATAAAATCGTATCCGGAAATTTGATCGAAAGAAATTTCGTCGACGGTAAATTGATCGACGGTAATTTGATCGAACGGAAATATGGTCGAATCTTTTTTTCCGTTTTTACCTTTAAATTTTGCTTCAAATGTCTTTTTGAACGCATTATTTTGTTTTACTATATAGTATAGTGCGTTCAAAAAGAAATTTGACGAAAATCTTAACGTGTGAACTGAAAAAAAGATTCGACCAAATTTCCGGTCGATCAAATTACCGTCGACGAAATTTCTGTCGATCAAATTTCCGGTAACCAAATAAAATAGCCGTGGCCAGACTATACCCCTCAAGACCAGAACATACTCCTCCTGGCAATTTAGTTTTTCATTATTATACACTTAATCTGAGAGAAACAGGAGAAAACATCTGGGAAATAAAATTGTTATTTAGGTTCCCTTAACCTGGTTGTGAATATCCAATCCTTTATTTTTAGTTTTATACAATTATATTTTTTTAAATAATTTGGCTATAACTATTTGTTTAAACTGCGTCACGCTTAAAATGATGGGACAAGACAAGCAGTGTATGCATGGGCGCCCGCAGAAAACTTTCGGGGGGGGGGGGCAAAAAATCGATTAACTTTGGGGTGGGGGGCAAAAATTTTTCAGTAATGTTTTAATATAGTTTTAATTTACTGTAGCGTATTTGTATGGTGAACGAACGGACAGGACATCAGTTTAGTTACTTTCTCTTTATTTTCTCTTTACTTTAATAAATTTTGTGTCTATTTTTGTCTAAAAAAATTTTATCCAATCAATCAGGGGGGGGGGGAGTGCCCCCCTTGCCCCTACCTGTGGGCGCCCATGAGTGTATGCAACATTGTTGGATTTAGCCAATGTCAATGTTGCCTGTCATCTTATCGTATATCGCAGCTTAAAAGACATATTTCCCTCTATAAAACACCCCGCCCCCAAGAACTGGCCTGGTGTCAGATTTTGACAACCAATGAATACCAACTGTATGATGAGCTTTTAATAATCTACTCTCAGGCCCGGCGCCTGGGGATGGCGAAGTGGTGTTTGCAGGGCCCCGCGCGTTGCCGTAGTATATTTACAATATACTTAAGCCTATTTACTAACAGTTCCTAATCCAGTCAACACAATATTCGGATTGTGTCCAGATTACAATGGCTCATTCAGCTTCGTGTTTTCGTCATTTGTTTTTGACAACCTTGATATTGGTAACATTGGAGCCGCGATGAGTAATTTGGGCCAGGGGCAATTAACTGTTATAGGGGGAAAAAAAGAAATTTCGTAAACTAAGCGAGTGAACAAATATCCGTTATGACGCGTCCCATTATGACCAGCAAGACCCCAGTACGACTATAACGTGTCTTAATATCCTATCGGCGGAATATATAACGTCAACGGCCCCGCAAAATTCAATTTCCCCAAGGCCCACACCCTCCTAGCGCCGGCCCTGCTACTCTGCAACACACAGGAGAATATGTAACAAGGGAATGAGACCAGTGTGTTAAGGAAACGATACCAAAGCTAGTGAAACCAGCGCATTTAAGGAAACGATAAAAAAGTTAGTGAAGTTTGCAATTATCATTTATTTACACTAACTAAACAACTAAAAATTCTGATATCATAACTACAAAATAAATAAACATATAAATGAAAAAAGGACATATCAACTTACAGCACTTGAATATGGTCTTGTAATAAAAGGTGGAAATGGCAATCGACACACACGGTGAAAAATAGTAATCCTCACAAGTAATATGAAAGGTGAAAAATAGTAATCCACACAAATAATAGGAATAGTGAAAATATGTACACACACACACACTTATCTTATCTAGAAACGCTCGTGCGACGCGTGAGTAAACAGCGTTTCATAACAAGACACGCACGTTTGACTTCTAAACGTCATCAGTGAATTGCTAGAAATTGCAAAAAAACTTATCTCTAATTATCGGACGCGAGAGGTTTGCACCTCGTTCATACATGTCATAAACAATATGTGGCACCAATTTACTTGGTCACGACACTTACCTACACACACACAAAGGAGGGGGGGGGGGAAACGATTCCACACCAGAAGCACACAGGCTGTAACAACAACAAAAAAGTACCCCCAGTGGATCTATGATCTATACCTCCAGCCAGAGAAACGTTTAAATTTCAAGTCCAATTTCAAACAGCTAAGCCAAAGTGGACAGAGGGTGGTATTCTTTACCATGACGGAAAAGTGGGTTTTCACTTATAGCTGACTGCCAAATATCCCCGAAGGTCGGTCATGAAAATGAAATTTCTGTTGGTCTCTTTTGACAGAGATAAGACATTGTCCAAAATCCCTGACCGTTATTACTGGAAGAGAATGAAGAACGTCGTTCAACAAATCAAAGCCTGTCAAAAAATGTTACGTCATTAATCTCAAATTGCCTGACTCCCAAAGGAGTCTCCGCCATATAACAGGATAGCAGTGCCTGACCTCCAAAGGAGGGTCCGCCATATAACAGAATATCAGTGCCTGACCTCAAAAGGAGGGTCCGCCATATAACAGAATATCAGTGCCTGACCTCCAAAGGAGGGTCCGCCATATAACAAAATATCAGTGCCTGACCGCCAAAGGAGGGTCCGCCATATAACAGAATATCAGTGCCTGACCTCCGAAGGAGGGTCCGCCATATTATAATCTCTAAGTGAATGGACGCAATTGCAGCTCCATATAATAAGAGAAAATATAATAAGTGAAAATTAAGATTTTGTATTAGAAAAAGAAGAGCGGGGCGCACTGCGGCCGCATAGGTTGCAGTGGCCTAAGGCCGGCCTCATCGTCTATATCAAGAATCGGCGCCGTAATCATCGCATTGGCCCAAAGATGGAATAACGCAGGATTGGTCCGTACTTAGTTGCGGAATCCTTGTCCAAGGACGAGTAAGTGGAATTTGGAAAACAAGCTGAGTCAGACTTATGGAATTTGGACATCACATGGAATGGACAAGGCGTGAATGTCGTGTTTTCATTCACTTGTTAATCCTTCGCCCCGCGACCAATTGCAGTGGACTAACGTCTCTTTTCTTTCCGATTTTGCCTGTAGTTAATCTCTCCCCTACTTATTTTCTGTCACAATTCTTTTGCTGCCCTCCCGGATACGACTTTTCAGCTAGTGTTATTTCTATGTAATTCTGTTTTTACTGTTGTCTGTTCGCTGATGAAGGCTTCCTGCTGACACGTTCATTGTTTTGTTGCGTTCATTTTTAAAAAATTTTCTCATACTTTGTTTCACCCATTTCCTTTTTTCTAACCTGATTGCAGTCTCTCACCCTTATTATGATTCAAAATGATTGAATATGAATAGGCATATATACAAACTTTTATTTTTAGTTGTTAGCAAATATTACTGCTATTTTATTATTTTTATCTAGACTTCAGACTTGGACTATTATTCCGACCATGGATCAGGGCAAGGAACAATTAGAGAGTAAACGGGTGACAGTCCTACTTTTGGTGTTGATTTTCATTGGACAGATTTTTCTCGACCTCTCCAAGGATCAGAGGAGATGTTTTGGTTTATTTTTCACT